GGGGCGGCCAAATTTTTTGACCCCAGGGCTTTTATTTGAACAAACTTGGTAGAACACTTATTACAACATGCTTTATGCTAAAAAATCTTAGCTCTAGCTCTTTTGGTTCTTTATAAAAAGAAGATTTTTTTTTAAGTTTTTACTATATTGCATATAGGGAAAAACAATGACCCCCCTGGGGGCGGGGCCAATTTTTACCCCCAGGGCTTTTATTTGAAAACAAACTTGGGTAGACACCTATTAGAACATGTTGATGCTAAATTATCTTAGCCATTGCTCTTTGAGTTCTTTAAAAGAAGATTTTTTAAGTTTTTACTATATGCATATAAGGAAAATCAATGACCCCCCGGGGCGGGGCCAATTTTGACCCCAGGGCTTTTATTTGAACAAACTTGGTAGACAACCATTAGAACATGTTTCATGCTAAATATCTTAGCTGTAGCTTTTTTGGTTCTTTAAAAGAAGATTTTTTAAGTTTTTACTATATGTATATAGGGAAAATCAATGACCCCCCTGGGGCGGGGCCAATTTTCACCCCAGGGCTTTTATTTGAACAAACTTGGTAGACACTCACTAGAAGATTTTTCATGCCAAATATCTAAGCTCTAGCTCTTATGGTTTTTTAAAAGAAGATTTTTTAAGTTTTTTTCTATATGTATATAGGGAAAATCAATGACCCCCCGGGGCGGGGCCAATTTTGACCCAAGGGCTTTTATTTGAACAAACTTGGTAGACACTTATAAGAACATGTTTCATGCTAAATATCTTAGCTTTAACTCTTTTGGTTCTTTAAAAGAAGATTTTTTAAGTTTTTACTATATGCATATAGGGAAAATCAATGACCCCCCTGGAGCGGGGCCAATTTTGACCCCAGGGCTTTTATTTGAACAAACTTGGTAGACACCTATTAGAACATGTTTGATGCTAAATATCTTAGCCATAGCTCTTTGAGTTCTTTAAAAGAAGATTTTTTTAAGTTTTTACTATATGCATATAGGGAAAATCAGTGACCCCCCAGGGCAGGCCAATTTTGACCCCAGGGCTTTTATTTGAACAAACTTGGTAGACACCTATTAGAACATGTTTGATGCTAAATATCTTAGCCATAGTTCTTTGAGTTCTTTAAAAAAGATTTTTTTAAGTTTTTACCTATATGCATATAAGGAAAAATCAATGACCCCCGGGCAGGGCCAATTTTTGACCCCCAGGGCTTTTATTTTGAACAAACTTGGTAGACACCCATTAGAACATGTTTCATGCTAAATATCTTAGCTGTTAGCTCTTTTGGTTTCTTTAAAAGAAGATTTTTTCAGTTTTTACTATATGTATATAGGGAAAATCAATGACCCCCGGGGCGGGGCCAATTTTGACCCCAGGGCTTTTATTTTGAACAAACTTGGTAGAGACACTCACTAGAAGATGTTTCATGCCCAATATCTAAGCTCTAGCTCTTACGGTTTTTTAAAAGAAGATATTTAAAGTTTTTTCTTTCGGTTGCCATGGCAACCAGAGTTCTGCATGGAATTAAATTCTTTGAACAATTTTTAAAGGTGACCACCAAAGGAACATTCCTGTGAAGTTTGGATGAAATTGGCTTAGTGGTTTATGAGGAGATGTCATTTAAAGTAAAAGTTTACGGACGGACGACGGACGGACGGACGCCGGACGGACGCCGGACGAAAAGCGATCACAAAAGCTCACCCTGTCACTTTGTGACAGGTGAGCTAAAAACCAATGTGTTTTCCGAAATAATAGACTACATTTTTACTATAGAATCAACTAAATTTCCAACTATTCTTAATAATGTTTTAACATTTAAACTTATATAATTTAGTGTATAATTGTTAATTAAAATTAAATTGGAAAACAAAATAAAATATAACTTAGACCTAAAATACATTGTCCAGTAATTGATTCTCCACTGGCCTGTCCCCTAATTTTTAAGATTTTCGAGCTTCGTAAATTTGAGTTTGTATTTTACTTTCTGAAAAGAAACGATAACAGTAATTAAAAGTACTAAAAGTCTAAATGTTCTGTTCTTGTATGAAGGTGTCGGATGTGTAAATGACATGGTCACATGATAACATTTACTTAGATGTAAGAATAATATGAGATATAACACCCTAATTTCTTTGACACATATTTAACAATCTAAGCATTTTGGAATGCAGTAAAGAACGTCTTTTTACAACATGTACAAGTTAATTTACATCAACTGGCACTTATAAAAATCATGCATTAGCAATATTTCATTGTCTATGCTAACTGTCATATTACAACAGTTAGTGCAAATCTTTAATTTAAAAGTAGTATTAACTATATAAACACATTTTTACCTTTCTCCAAGCCAGTTCCAACATTTTTAAAACCTGACTGTGTATTTGGCGAAGGCATGTTCTCTTCTTCAACATTCATGACATTTCGACTAGAATGATGGTTGATTCCTCCACATTTTCTTGCAACTAAAATTTTTTCTGTATCATTGTTTTCAACTTCATGTGGATGTTTGGGAAGATCTACTGTCTTATCAGTTTTTAGAACATTTGGAATTTGGTGATCACTATAATTCATATCCTTCTTTGCTGTAGTTTCATCAGTAGGCATGTTCTCGGTTTTATCATTTGTGAGCAAATCTTCAACATTTTGAGGGTTTGTAATGTGTAATCCTTTCTCAGAGACGTTTTTTATTTTATCATTTATAACCTTCTCAGAAACGTCTTTTATCATATGATTGATATGTGCATCTTGCTCCTTGTGACGGCCGATTTCGATAGGCTGTTCAGTAGAACAGTCTCCTTTTTCATTAATTTCTTGAACAACTGGAAGGATTTGACGACTACGTACTTTAAGATTGTTAGAATAACTCTCTTTCCTATCGTTTTCTGACGCAACAGGAAATTTGACAGGGCCGGTTGCAGTATATTCTTTAGCCAGCTTGAATTCTTCATCACCATTTTTAGACAAATCTGGAACTTTATTGTGGTCAATTATTGGAATTTTTTCAGTAAACAGTTCTTCTTCACCATTTACGACGCGAATTTTCTCCTGGCCATGCTCATTTTTAGCCAGTTTTTCTACTTCAGTATCAATTTCATACACATCTGTATCTTTGTGAGGGCACGTTCCTGTAAAGTTTCTTGTACACATATCTTTATTTTCGTCTTTTTTGAACACAATGACATGTGGAACAGGGTGAATATCAGCTTGTGTAGTAAATGAGTATTCTCCATCCTTGCTCTCTGGCATATCTTGGGAATGGTTTTCTGTTGACCTTAGGTCAGACATGTCGTCATCCTCTGGTTCTTGTGATACGTCTCCATTACTGAAATAAATTTGAGCTGAGAAGTACTGTTGTTTTCTTAGTCAGTTGACTATTTTCAAAATTGAAATCAGATAACATATATCCATTTGGACAATCATACTTTTACTTTTTCATTGACATGGTATACATTGCTACGATGGTAAAACATGCGATGGTCATACCATATTTCTGGTATGATTGTGATGCCTCGGTGGCATAATTATCAAGCAATGGTTTGTTTGTTTTGTTTGATTGGGTTTTATGTCGCACCAACACAGTATAGGTTATATGGCGACGTTCCAGCTTTACTGGTGGAGAAAGACCTCTGATGCCCTTCCGTACATTATTTCAGGTACAAACGGGCACATGAGTAGAACTACCAACATTCCATAAGCTAGCTTCCTAACATGAAAGAATCCATTCCATAAGCTAGCTTCCTAATATGAAAGAATCCAAAGTCCCTGTCGGGATTCGAGCCCACAACGGTGAGGGGCAAGTGGTTTGATGTCAATCACACAATGATAGGGCGGTTAAACAACGGCTGCAGTCAAATACAAGCGTATGTCGGAGAAGTTATAGCTATATCTCATCGCGATTCACCTTTCAAACGCAGCGATTCAACCAATGAGTATTCATGCTTTAGCGGTATCATGTCATCGCTTTATCTTATCCTGTGATTATTGTTTACTGTACAAGTCGTAATTAACAAACATGTTTTTAAACATGGACAATTCCACATCAAGAATTTACATGGGCGATTCAAGAGTAAAACGGGTCATAACCAGTATTATTTGCAAATTACTGACAAACGAGATCTCCACATGAATGATATGTGGGAATTATCTAATACAACATGTTTTATTGTTAAAGTGTCACAACAAATCTGCACCTCGTGCAAGATTCAAACACACATGCTGGTTACCTCAAGACCTAATTTACCAGGCTCTTACTTCTTATTAGAAATGCAAAGGTTAATGAAAATGCATTTACAATGAATACAAGAGCGATCAATGATCACATGTGTCGCCTCATGATGGCCAATTTCATGTTGGGACAAGTTTTGTGACAGACGGACAGCAACAGACAGTGCACAACTAGATTTGGTACTGATCATTCCTGTACAGTTTGGATAAAATTGCACCAGTAGTTTATGAGGAGTAGTCCGGACAAGCTTTTGTGTATCTGGCAACATACAGGAAAAAACACCTTTTTATCAAAGGGCCATAACTCGGCCAAAAATCATTCAACCAGAAAACCTGTGCAATATGCGCAAGGACTTGAGCTACAGATCAATCCTGTAAAGTTTCATTGAAATTGCATTAGTGGTATAAGAGAAGTAGTCCGGACAAACTTTAAAAATAAAAATTATTAAAGGGCCATAACTCTGACAAAAATCATTGAACCGAAAAATGCTGACAATATGCACAACTAGCCTTGGTACTGATCATTCCTGTAAAGTTTGGATGAAAGTAATCCAGACAAGCTTTTGTGTATCTGGCAACACACAGAAAAAAACAACTTTTTATCAAAGGGCCATTACTCGGCCAAAAATCATTCAACCGTAAAACCAGTGCAATATGCGCAAGGACTTGAGCTACTGATCAATCCTGTAAAGTTTAAATGAAATTGCATTAGTGGTATAAGAGAAGTAGTCCGGACAAACTTTAAAAATAACAAGATTGCATTTGAGAAAAATGCTATGCCACCACATGGTTCAAATTTCATAGCTGTACATCAAAGGACAAGAAAGTAGGTCACATCATCAAAATCTAGGTCAAAGTTCAATTTTACAACTAAAACTGTGCACATGGTCAAAATGTCATTGCTGTACATCAAAGGACAAGAAAGAAGGTCACTGTCCCCTTGGGCAAGGCATAATTTTCACCCAAGGGTTTAATAACAATCTTGATACAGGTCCACCAAACAACATTTCAAGTCAAATATCTAAGCTTTCTCCCATTCAGAAAACATTTGTTTTATTTTCTGTTTTTACTACGTGTACATAATGAGAATCACTGCCCCCGGGCAGGGCCAATTTTTGACATTTGAACAACTTTGGTAGAGTACCTATAGATGATATTATATATGAAACATCAAAGCTCTATGCCTTGAACCTTCACACAAAAATTTTTTTTCACTATATGTACATAATGAAAATCAATGGCCCCCGGGGGGGAACCAATTTTGACCCCAGGGCTATAATTTGAACAATCTTGCTAGAGGTTCACTACACAATGTTTCATGCAAAATATCTTAACTCTATCTTTTGTAAATTTAGAGAAGATGATTTTCAAGTTTTAACTATATACATATCAGATAAACCTATGGCTCCCTGAGGGGCGGGGCTAATTTTGACACAAGAGGCAAAATTTGAACAACTTTGGTAGAGTACCTATAGATGATATTTTTTAACAAATATTAAAGCTCTAAGCCTTGTACCTTCAGACAATAAGATTTTTTTATTTTTTACTATATGTATATATTGAAATCAATGACCCCCAGGGCGGGGGCAATTTTGACCCCAGGGCTATAATTTGAACAATCTTGCTAGAGGTTTACAACACAATGTTTCATGCAAAATATCTAACCTCTAGCATTTGTCAATTGCGAGAAGAATTTTTTTAAGTTTTTACTATATACATATAAGGAAAACCAATGACCCCTGGGGCGGGGCCGATTTTGACCCCAGGGCTATAATTTGAACAATCTGGGTAGAGGTCTACCAGACAATGCCTTATGCAAAATATCTAAGCTCTAGGCCTTTTGGGTCTTTACAAGAAGGTGTTTTAAGTTTTTACTATATGTACATATAGCGAAAATCAATGACCCCGGGGCGGGGCCGATTTTGACCCAAGGGCTTTAATTTGAACAATCGTGGTAAGGGTCTACCAGATGATGCCTTATGCAAAATATCTAAGCTCTAGGCCTTTTTGGTTTTTACAAGAAGGTATTTTAAGTTTTTACTATATGTACATAGTGAAAATCAATGACCCCCGGGGCGGGGCCAATTTTGACCCCAGGGCTATAATTTGAACAATCTTGTTAGAGGTCTACCAGACAATGCCTTATGCAAAACATCTAAGCTCAAGGCCTTTTTGGTCTTTACAAGAAGATTGTTTTAATTTATTCTTATAATTCCTTTTGGTTGCCATTGCAACCAGATTTCTGCATGGACTGAAAGCCCTTCACCCAAGGAACAATCCTGCCAAGTTTGGTTGAAATTGGACTGGTGGTTTTTCACAAGAAGATTTTTTAAGTTCACTATATAATCTATATAACACACAGACACACACACACAAACACACAGGTGAATCCCTATATGCCACCGCATCGCAGATGCTGCGGTGGCATAAAAATTATAAAAGGGCCATAACTCTGTCAAAAATCATTGAACCGGAAAATGCTGACAATATGCACAACTAGACTTGGTACTGATAATTCCTGTAAAGTTTGGATGAAATTGCACCAATAGTTTATGAGGAGTAGTCCGGACAAGTTTTGTGACGGACGGATAGACGGACGGACAGACAGACGGACAGACGACGGAGAAGTGATCCCTATATGTCGCCACTACTCCGTAGAGGCGACAAAAAAATACCATCAAATTATGTGTTATATTTGAAACAATACAAATTTAAATTAACAAGAGCCACCGCCGGGCGGGGGCAACGCTCGACTTTTGACTTTTTCTAAAAGCAAACAAAGAAATATTTGAACAAATCTTAACCTTTCCTTTTTATAAATTTAATTGCGTTAGTTTCGTCAAAATATGAATCCTTTCCATATATATCCGCATGTATATTACAGCAGAAAAAAAAAGATATATATGTATATTTATATACACATGCATTTATATATCATATATATATTATATATATATAATATATACACATGCATGCATATATATATAAATGCGTGTATTCAAAGTCAAGGTCATAAAACAGCCAAAGTCATTTTCAGTTTGATAAGCATGTCTTGTCCTTAAGAATGTTCTGTTATAATATGAAGTCAATCCATTCAATAATAGCAAAGTTACAGCCAGTTACAGCAAAAAAAAACGAAAATTTCAATAACTTGACCTTCAGTCAAGGTCACATATGAGTGAAGGTCACAGTCTGTCTGGCTATTTTTAAGGGTTATCCTTTAAGATTATTATGTTCAAGTTTGAAGACAATCCATTCAAAAATAACAAAGTTACAGCCAAAAATAGCCAAAAGCAAGCAAAATTTGGACTTTTGACCAGGAAGGTCAAGGTCATTTATGCATGAAGGTCAAGGTTAGTGTAGTCTACTGAATGGTCTTGTCCCAAGGGTTGTTGTGGCCAAGTATGAAGACAATACACCAAGAACTAAAAAAAGTTACAGTCCAGGTACAAGTTTGCGGACGGCAACAGCAACGCCACCAGGACTATAACAATACCTCTACTTTTTTTTTGAAAAAAAAACAGAAAAAAAAGTCGAGCTAAAAAAGGTAATTCCACTAGTGTGTCTCAAACTTACACCTGGCACCCAGAAATATGGACCGATTCAGTAAATAACATCAACGAAGAAAGCACAAAAAAGTGACTGCGATTGACTCTTTAACATTAAATTTCGACTCTGCTCTCACTAAAAGTCGGACTTACCCATTTTATTTACATTAACATTCTTAATGGAATGGCAGTTACTTTATTTACCCGTCATAAATAAACAACATAATTTACCCGTTAACGTAAGTGAACTATATTTCGGTGAAGATTTCAAGTAAAGATATCGTCATATAAACATTGCTTTTCATTTCAAATTATAGTACATTCCGGTACATTATAATGTAGGTCATAATCCGATTGAATCATTGTGTAAGAAAATTAACTTTGAGTAAGGATAACACATTTAAGCTATCATTTTTGAATATCCTATAGAAGAAATAGAAGAAAAATATTAAAAATAAAACATAATTATGTTTAATATACCTTTTTCTTGTCTGGGTTAATAATGGTTCCATTTCCATGTCTTTTGAGTTGGTCCCCCAAATTTGATTCATGCCCCTTTTCCCAAAAAATTATTGTAAATTTTTAAAATTTTTAATCAAATAATAATTAAAAAGAAAATGCTTTTGACATATTTTATGCATTTTTTAAAAAAACATGCTTGTCTAACAATTACCCCCACCACAACTTAACTAAAAATTTTGGGTCAATCCTTTTGAATCAACCTTTTTTCATGGGTTCACCATGTACAAAAATATACTTTTCTTGCCTTTTAAAAAGGTCATATTGAACCTTATCCCCAAATTTTTTTTTCTTAAAAAAGAAAAGAAATTAAATAAAAACAAATTAAATTTATTTAAATTTTCCCTTTTGAATTACCCTTTGGGGTTGCCCTTTGACCTTTCGCTTTAGACGGGATGTTACAAATTTGATCATTAAAAAATTTCTCAATCAAAATGATAAAAAAAAGTGGATAAAAATCAGAGGGGGAAAAAGGAAAGGGGATAGACGACAGAGTAAAAACACTTTAAAAACCCCCCTTTTCAGGGGCTCAAAAAAAATAACCGGGCCTTGTTTAAAAGTCTTGAGATTTTAAGTTAATGTGTTCATAAACCTGTTTTTCTATCCAAAGATTTTTTCCCTGTTAACGAATTCTTTCATAAATAAAAAAAGCTGTAGCCATTTTGTTTAAAAAAAAAAGGAAAAATGAGAAACAAGAGAAAGCAAAACTTTTTTTTTCTAAAAGAAAAAAACAAAAAAAGGGTTTTAAAAAAAAATCAATAAAAAATAATATTTTTTTCTTTTCTTAGTATAAAATCATTCAAAAAAAAAATGAAAAAGTTTAAAAAAATAGAAATTAACTCTCCGTCAAGGGTTCAATTATCAAAATTTTTAAACTAAGGGTTTTTACTTTGTCCATATAAAAAAAATAAAACAATATGAAAAAAATTTAACAATTTGACGATCAAGGTCATCTTAAGCTTGAGGTCAGGTCAACATTTAGAAAGGTTTTTTTTTTTTAAATATTTTGATAATCCATTGATTAATTAACAAGTTCCCGGCAATTATAGCAATAATCAGTGAAAATTTAATTATTTGACCTTCAAGGTCAAAGCCATGCATGAGTGAAGGTCAATTTGTGTTTGAATGCATGAAGGTCCTGACCAAAAAGATATTGTGTCTAAATAAGAAATTAATCAATCTTTACAATAAAATTTATTATATTTTTTAGTCAGTTTGGTATGAAGTCCATACATAAACAAAATTATGAAAATTCAACCAAATCTTTTAATTGGATATTGATGGTCATGGTCATTAAAAGGTTAAGGTCAGTGTAACCCTTTATAAGGTCTTGTCTTTGTCTAAAAGGTTAATTGTCTAAGTAAAGAGATAATCCATTTATCAATTACCAAGTTGCAATCAATTATTGCAAAAATCAGGGGAAAAATTTTATTTTATTTAATTTGGTCAATTCATTATGAGTTTGTATACAAGAAAATCCAAAATAAAGAATGCTGTTCCCCATATGAAACAAACCTTATCAAAAATAAAGTAATAGCCAATTACAAAAATAAATCAATTTTGGAAACCCAAGGGCTTAAGAATGGCAAAATTTGTTATTTTTGAAAAAATTCCCTTTAAATTTTAACAAAAACAGTGACCACAAACCCTGTTTTTTTAATTGATATATAATTGGCTATTTTTTTATAGAAAATTTCCATAAATTGGGGGAATGTTCGTTAAGGAAAAAAAAGGCTGTGGGCCTTTAAGTCGCTCACCTGAATAGGCCCCCTCGGGGCCCGTTTAAAAACCCCGTGCTTTTTTTTGAACCCTGGTAGACAACATAAGAAGAGTTAATGTAAAAATTAGGTCTGTTTGGTAAAGGTTTTTTTTACACAATAGTAAAAAAAAAAGACAACCTGGGGCAGGGCAGGTTTGAACTCCAAGGGCTTTTATTTGAACAATCTTTGTAGACACTTACTAGAAAATGTTTCATGCTTAATATCTGAACTCTAGTTATTCAGATTTTTTTAAGAAGATTTTAAAGTTTTGCTATACACATATAAGGAAAATCAATGACCCCTAGGGTGGGGCCAATTTTGACTTACTAGAAGATGTTTTATGCGTAATATCTAAACTCTAGCTATTTGGGTTTTTTCAAAGAAGATTTTTAAGTTTTTGCTATACACATATAAGGAAAATCAATGTCCCCTAGGGCGGGGCAAATTTTGACCCCAGGGCTTTTATTAGAACAAACTTTGTAGACACTCACTAGAAGATGCTTCGTGCTTAATATCTAAACTCTAGCTATTTGAGTTTTTTCAAAAAAGATTTTTTAAGTTTTTGTTATACACATATAAGGAAAATGAATGCCCCCCGGGCGGGGCAAATTTTGACCCCAAGGCTTTTATTTGAACAAACTTGGTAGACACTCACTAGAAGATGTTTCATGCTTAGTATCTAAACTCTAGCTATTTGGGTTTTTTCAAAGAAGATTTTTTTTAAGTTTTTGCTATACACACATATAAGGAAAATGAATGACCCCCAGGGCGGGGCCAATTTTGACCCCAAGGCTCTTATTTGAACAAACTTGGTAGACATCCATTAGAACATGTTTCATGCTAAATATCTTAGCTCTAGCTCTATGGGTTCTTTAAAAGAAGATTTTTTAAGTTATTACTATATGCATATAGGGAAAATCAATGACCCTCGGGCAGGGCCAATTTTGACCCCAGGGCTTTTATTTGAACAAACTTGATAGACACCCATTAGAAGATGTTTCATGCTAAATTTCTTGGGTTCTTTAAAAGAAGATTTTTTAAGTTTTTACTATATGCATACAAAATGTATAGGGAAAATCAATGACCCCACTGAGGCGGGGCCAATTTTGACCCCAGAGCTTTTATTTGAACAAACTTGGTAGACACTCACTAGAAGATGTTTCATGCCTAATATCTAAGCTCTAGCTAATTGGGTTTTTTAGAAGAAGATATTTAAAAATTTTCTTTTGGTTGCAACCAGAGTTCTGCATGGAATTTAATTCTTTGAACAATTTTTAAAGGTGACCACCAAAGGAACATTACTGTGAAGTTTGGATGAAATTGGCTTAGTGGTTTATGAGGAGATGTCATTTAAAGTAAAAGTTTACGGACTCCGGACGGACGCCGGACGGACTCCGGACGAAAAGCGATCACAAAAGCTCACCCTGTCACTTTGTGACAGGTGAGCTAAAAAGAAAAATAATGACCTACTAGTTATGTGAAATTGAAAGAGCTTGACATTTAAACTAAACAGCAGTGAACCCAAAATAAGGGACATTTACAACTTATGACCAATCAATATGTAAAATATGAAGACTCTGTGATACACATTTTTAAGATAATGAGTAAAATCTATTCTGACTTTTAAGGCACCTGTGACCTTGACCTTTGACCTCGTTACCCAAAAGTCAATAGGGGTCATCTACTAGTTATGACCAATTGACAAGTGAAATATGAAGACTTTGCGATAAACAGTTTTTCAAAATAATAAGCGGAAACCATTCTGACATTTAAGGCCCCTGTGACCTTGAACTTTGAACTATGACACCAAAATCAATAGGGTTCATCTACTATAAATGTCCAATCAGTTAAGAAAAACTGAAGACTTTGTGATAAATTTCTGTCAAGATAATGAGCGGAAACCATTATACCATTTGAGGCCCCTATAACCTTGACCTTTGACCTAGTAACCCAAAAATCAATCGAGTCTATCTACAGTTACATATCAATATATCATACCAATCAATATATGATATATAAAGACACTGTGATAAATATATTTCAAGATAATAAGCAAAAACATTCTGACATTTAAGGCCCCTGTGACCTTTACCTTTGAAGTAGTAATCCCAAAATCAATAGGGGTCATTCACTACTTATGACCAATCACAATGTGAACAAGAGGGCCATGATGGCCCTGAGGTCGCTCACCTGTATATAGGCCCCCCAACCCCCACCCCCCAACGTTGCAGGGCAAATTTTAACCCAAGGGCTTTTATTTGCACAAACTTGGTAGACACCCATAAGAAGATGTTTCATGCTACACATCTAAGCTCTAGCTCATTGGGCTTTTTAAAAGAAGATTTTTTTTTAGTTTTTACTATACACATATAGTTAAAAACAATGCCACCCCTGGGGCCTGGCCAGTTTTGACCCCAGGGCTTTTATTTGAACAAACTTTGTAGACACTAACTTGAAGATGTTTCATGCTTAATATCTAAACTCTAGCTATTTGGGTTTTTTCAAAGAAGATTTCAAGTTTTTGCTATACACATATAAGGAAAAGCAATGATCCCCTGGGCGGGGCCAATTTTGACCCCAGGTCTTTTATTTGAACAAACTTTGTAGACACTCACTAAAAGATGTTTCATGCTTAATATCTAAACTCTAGCTATTTGGGTTTTTTCAAAGAAGATTTTTTTAGGTTTTTGCTATACACATATAAGGAAAAGCAATGATCCCCGGGGCGGGCCAATTTTGATCCCAGGGCTTTCATTTGAACAAACTTTGTAGACACTCACTAAAAGATGTTTCATGCTTGATATCTTAGCTCTAGCTATTTGGGATTTTTCAAAGATGATTTTTTAAGTGTTTGCTATACACATATAAGGAAAATCAATGACCCCCGGGGCGGTGCCAATTTTGACCCCAAGGCTTTTATTTGAACAAACTTGGTAGACACCTATTAGAACATGTTTGATGCTAAATATCTTAGCTCTAGCTCTTTGAGTTCTTTAAAAGAAGATTTTTTAAGTTTTTGCTATACACATATAAGGAAAATCAATGACCCACAGGGCGGTGCCAATTTTGACCCCAGGGCTTTTATTTGAACAAACTTGGTAGACACTTATAAGAGCATGTTTCATGCTAAATATCTTAGCTCTAACTCTTTGGGTTCTTTAAAAAAAGATTTTTTAAGTTTTTACTATATGCATATAGGGAAAATCAATGACCCCCAGGGCGGGGCCAATTTTGACCCCAGGGCTTTTATTTGAACAAACTTGGTAGACATTCACTAGAAGATGTTTCATGCCAAATATCTAAGCTCTAGCTCTTATGGTTCTTTAAAAGAAGATTTTTTAAGTTTTTACTATATGCATATAGGGAAAATCAATGACCCCCTGGGGCGGGGCCAATTTTGATCCCAGGGCTTTTATTTGAACAAACTTGGTAGACACTCACTAGAAGATGTTTCATGCCAAATGTCTATGATCTAGCTCTTATGGTTTTTTAAAAGAAGATATTTAAAGTTTTTTCTTTCGGTTGCCATGGCAACCAGAGTTCTGCATTGAATTAAATTCTTTGAACAATTTTTAAAGGTGACCACCAAAAGAACATTCCTGTGAAGTTTGGATGAAATTGGCTTAGTGGTTTATGAAGAGATGTCAATTAAAGTAAAAGTTTACGGACGGACAGATGGACGGACGCCGGACGAAAAGCGATCACAAAAGCTCACCCTGTCACTTTGTGACAGGTAAGCTAAAAATGAAGACTTTGTGATAAAAGCTTTCAAGATATTGAGCAGAAACCATAACACCATTTAAGGCTCCTGTGAACTTTACCTTTGAACTAGTAATCCAAAAATCAATAGGGATCATTTACTAGTTTTGACCAGTCGCTATGTAAAATATGAAGATTTGTGATAAATAGCTTTTAAGATAATGAGTGAAAACCATATTACCATTAATGGCCCCTGTAAACTTGATCTTTAACCTAGTGATCCCAAGATAGATAGGGGTGATCTTCTACTTATGACCAATCAGTATGTGAAATATGAAGACTTAATGATAAACAGTTTTCAAAATAATAAGCGGAAACCATTCTGGCATTTAAGGCCCCTGTGATCTTGACCTTTGAACTAGTGACCCAAATATCAATAGGGACCATCTTCTAATTATGACCAATCAGTATGTGAAATATGAAAACTTTGTGATAAATAGTTCTGATATAATCAGCGGACACCATGTGGAAGAGGGGGGGGGGTCCTTGTCTCAAGGGTTCTTATGCCGCCAAGTTTGAAAAAAGTACACCACAAACCATTTTTCATTTTAAGTTCAAGGCCATCAAATTATTCAAAATTAACACAAACTATTTCTATACACAGTTCAATGCCCTAAAACTATTCAGCGTCAAACCTTTGCAAAGTGCATATTTGTAGCCGGGATAATGATTAGAAATTGTGAATTTTCAAATCTTTTGCAAGTTCAAAGAGTGTAACTGTAAACAAAAGAACATCTGACCATGACAAAATTAGATCTTGACTTGTCATTTCTGGTAAAATTCCAGCACATGCAATGTTCACTTCAAATATACATTCATAAAAAAGTTAGAGAGGAAACTGAAATTTTTTTATTAAGTTCAAGAAGAATTATCTGTCAAAAATCAACAGACCAAAACCAAGTTTTAACTTGACTTGTATACCTGCACATGCAATTTCAAAAGTCATCGGACCAAAACCAAGTTTGAACTTGACTTGTATACCTGCACATGCAATTTCAACCTTAAACATACATTTCTACAAAAGTAAGGAAACTTTTTTTCCAAATTTGTCCAAAATCTTTTAACCATGACTATATTAAAACTTAGCCTGCGTATTCCTATGATGTATCCATATATTAAATTTGAGTTGAATGTGTACAATTGTTGGGGAGATAATAAACGAAAACTGAATATTTCTTATATTTTGAAGTTAAAAGAGACATAACTCTGCCAAATATCATCAAACCAGGACTAAATTCATACTTGAACTGCGCTTTCATTTGACCTTATCATATGTCAAATTTGTGTTGAATGTGTACAATTGTTGGAAAGGTAATGACCTGAAACTTAAAATTTCATCAAAGGGCATAACTCTGTCAAAAATCATCTGACAATGACCAAATTTGAACTTGACCTTCATTTTTTATTATAATTATATCCGTCAAACTTGAGTTGAATGTGAAATATAATGAAAGGTACAAATTATAAACAACTTTTGCAAAATATGAATAATAGCATTTCTGTGGCATTTTAAGCATTTACCTTGCACATCAGAAGATATTGAAGAGCTAGTATCCGTTTTCTTATATTGTTTTCCTCGCAGTTTCCTAATGCATTCCGGCAGTTTCCTAATGCATTCCGGCAGTTTCCTAATGCATTCCGGCAGTTTCCTAATGCATTTTAAGAAGAATAAAGTTATTAAAAATCCATTTTAAAATACATGTTAAAATTGTTATACTTGCATGAAAGCTGTCAAAAATTATCTCCATTTGAATTTTTGATTCAAACTAATTTGAAATACATAACAAAGTTACATTTCTCCTGGTAAGTTAAAAGATTAAATTATCGTTCAATTATAGGCATTTCAAACCCGCAAAAATCTTTTTCATTTTTCCATAAAATGCCGAATTTTTTTGGCCGAATTCGTACAAAATGTCACGGGGAGCATTTAAACCTCTATTTTTCAATCAGTTATTGGATACATCAAGGAATAGTTTGACTCCAGAAGCCAATAGCGTCCATCAGGTTTGACTCTACATTTTGTCCCTCGTTTGTTTATAAAAAGGCGTAATCACCCCTGACTATTTGACATCAATCTATGTTACATTTAGAATATCAAAAGGAAAGGCATTATGTCCTTATGCGGCCGTTGTTATGTAACATATAAAGCTATGCAAACTGGCATTTAATGGGCATCTGACCTTATCCGTCTCATCGGCAGCTTACATACACGTTTAACAAAATATATATAAAACACTACTTTAATTTAAAGAACAATGAAGACACTATGTCCAACATACAATTAGTAAGTAAGTAAGTAAGTAAGTAAGTAAGTAAAGTCTTTATTTACTGAGGCTACACATTTGGTTTCCCAATCTTCCATGTGGGCCTCAAAACATAAATATACATAAAATATACATAATTTACATAATGGTTATACAGCAAAATTTTCAAATAACATACATGAAGACAAAAATGCATAATATATACATGAAAACACAACAAAAACAATGTACATTCAAACAAAATACATATTCAAAACACAATGCATGTACATATATTACTTAATACTTAATCTATGCAAGACCAAGGTACTTATGTGAAATTCCAACTGATATAGGAAGCTTGGAATTTTCTAATAGTTTCAGATTTACGAATAGAATGAGGGATATTGTTCCATAGTTTAGGGCCTGAATATGTCAGAGATTTTTCTAAAAATTTCTTTTTTAGGTTGTGGCACAAATAAATCTGAGTTTTTTTGCTGACCTAAGGTTATGCTCATGTCTTTGATGAATAAATTGAAATTTGTTTTTCATGTACTGTGGAAATGAGGCATTGTTTTAAAGATTTATACATAATGACAGCTTTTTTGTATCTAATTCTTTCATCAAATTTTATCCAATTTAATTCATTAAATAACTCAGCAGATGGAGCATCGTAGCTTTTGTCAAGAATGATTCTTGCAGCTCTTTTTCTGAAATTTTATGATATCCAAAATCTGTTCATTGTTACAATTCCCCCAGACTGTACAACAATAATCTAAATGTGGTAAGATATAAGCATTAAAGAACAGTTTTCTTGCATTTACATCAAGGTATTGTTTAATTCGGAGAAGAAGGTACAACTGTGTATTGCATTTCTTTAATGTCTTGTCTACTTGGGTTTTCCACTTAAGATTATTGTCAACATGAATACCTAGTAACTTTTCTGTCTCAGAAAATTCAATTTCATGTTCTTGCAGATGTAATGGTTGTAATTGTTGTTTATTTCTATTGGATGACAGGTTCATTGCTTTTGTTTTCTGGGCATTTAGCATCATTGCCATTTTGTTTGCACCATAGATTAATATTGTCAAGGTCAGTTTGAAGTTTATTATGTAAATCTTGTGTAGAGAGACCTGATGCTGTGAGAGTAGTGTCATCAGCAAAAAGATCTGCCTCTGAGGTTTTCAAATGGAGTGGTAGATCATTTATGTATATGATGAAAAGCAGAGGTCCAAGGACAGATCCTTGAGGTACCCCTGATATGACTGTTGCTGATTTTGATAGGTTGCCAGATACAGTGACCTTCTGTGTTCTATTTTTCAAGATATGATGTAAACCAGGTAATTGCACCAGAAGAAATATGATAGTAATAAAGTTTTTGGATGAGTAACTTATGATTTACAAGGTCAAATGCCTTTGACAAGTCAAGAAAGATTGTGCCAATTAGCTTTCCATCATTTATTGCCTTAATCCAGTTGTCAACAATATTTGTCAATGCAGTTTCACATGAATGTTTTGTTCTAAATCCTGATTGGGTGTTGAAAATGAAATTAAACAATTCTAGGAATTGTTTTAAATGATCAGACACATGTTTTTCAAATATTTTAGAAAGTATTGGAAGAACAGATATAGGTCTATAATTATTCTTATCTGATTTGTGTCCTTTTTTGAAGAATGGTGTGACCTTAGACTGTAGTGCAACGATAATTACCAAAAAGCGTACACTGGACTTGAAACATTGGTTTGTTCAGTCCCAATAGTAACATTCTTTTCATAAAAATTTTGTGTTAAATAACCTTAAAGCATCAGGAAACATAACCTCTGTTAGAATAGACTAGCCTTAGCCTGAGATTCAGGCGTTGATATTGTTTGCTTAGTCATAACATACTTGACCCTGTATTGATAAATGTGGATTTGCAGAGCAGAAGCACATAAACAATCGACAGACTGGAACCCAGGCTAAGAGTAGACGGGACGACATTAAATTTATATTAAATGAGTACATAATTTCTATAAATAATCTCATTATATATTTTCATCTTTACAATGCGTTTTAGAGTTTACTATCCTAAGTGTACCTGTTTCCAGGAAATGTTTCAGTAATTTATCCTCTTAAGACTCATAATATTCACAACTCAATAAATAATTAATATGTTATATGCAATAAATGACTGACTTTGCAAAAATTATACAATGTAACCATATGTCTACAATTTTTAACATCCAGGAAATGTACACATCTATAACTTTGTATTAGTGTATTGAAATTATTTTTTAGAAAGTTTTTTGTTAAATAAATAGTTCTTTCTAATTTTTTATTTCTTTTTATCGTAACACTTACTTTTGCCAACGCTTGTATCTACAAAACACAATTGCAACGATAATTACCAAACACACAATAGTTACAGAGACTGCAATCACGATAACAGGAACATTGGTAGGTCCAGTCCGAACATTAACATTGTTTTCATCTTTGTAGTCTGTAAAAAAAAAACAATATTTCTTCAATGTGTCTCATAAATGTTTAATTTTAAGGTATTCACTGTAAAATTGTTGATATTTTGCTTATTCTGCGGCAAAAGTCCAAGTGTGTTAGAGTGAGCGATCGTTTAAATACGATGGGACATCAGGTTAATAAACAGGATAACTTTTGAGATTTCTAGTTTTAGCTTTAAATACTTGTGCAAATGAGATTCATCTAAATAGAGGTATATGGATCAGCTTAATATTTTATATAATGACAGACTCGTGTAATTACATGATAACATAAATAAAGTATGCTATCTTAAACCCAAATTAAATCACAAATTCATAACTGCAGAAATAACTACCTCAGTTGTAACATCAACAGTTACTCTTTTTCAGTTCCTAATTGTTGCATGTAAATTATTCTAGATATATATTCGTACTATCCCTAAGAATATATAATCAATTTAACAAGATCTGCTGCTTTAAAACATGGCAAAACAAGAATGACAAGTAGTGTCATCCGCCTTTGCCAAGCGTTCTACATTAGTGTTTACTGTTCGGCTATGCTTGATAATTTCAGAATTTGATGTTCCCGTATTCAAGTTATATCAGTCAATGCGCCGATACAACTGTCAATGTATATTGTTTGCACAATGTATAGGCGGCATTATAAACGGGGATATTTGTGTTTTGATGAAAAAACAGACATTATCCAAATGATTTTATCTAGATGAAAATAAAGATATGCAAACATGGACTGTCACAGATATATGAGATACACAGGCTACTCACCTGATATTCACTGCTAGGAAATGTCAAAGTTTTTCCGTGAGTGACATAAAGGCTTATACATTTTTACTCAAAGGCTATGATTCAAACGTTGCGGTAAATGGCGGTTTTCACTCCTTTTCTTTATTCCATATACCTTGAATTTGATCCATTTTTTAAACCAGTAGATTATATTAAAAAATATATATTTTTTAAAAAGAGCCCACTCTGATAATAAGATCAAGAAGGCCAATATGGCCCTAGATCAATCACCTGACCCATCGAACTCATCAGAACAATTACCTCGACAAGCATTCTGACAAAGTTTCATGACATGTGACTAATTGAGTGTTAACACGGATTATCCATATTTGAGCAGTGTGACCTAGTTTTTGACCCCAGGTGACCCATATTCAAAATTGACCTAAAAATCATCAAAAACTTTCAGACCAATTTCCAGGATACTTGGATCAAAACAGTAGCCACTAGAGTTCTAACAAGATTATTCTATTTTTAGCTCCTGTGACCTAGTTTTTCATCCGAGATGACCCATTTTCATACTCATTGAGCTATTACCTAGATAAGCATCCTGACAAAATTTGATGATGATTGAGGCAAAAATGTGACTGCTAGAGTGTTAATGAATAAGTGTGGATGGACGATGGCCATTCAACGATCCTAAAAGCTCACCCCGAGCTAGCTCAGGTGAGCTAAAACAAACAATATGAAAAGCCAGTACAGATTCGGATTTATGCGCTGCAATATGCGGTCCTGATCCCTAGTTCCTATGATTTTAATATTCCCTCTTAGTTTTTGTCCGCGTGCGAGGACAATTATCATCATCATGCATATTACCTGGTTCTTCAATGATCGTGCAATTTGTCAGAGAAACTCTTGACTCTATTCCTTCATTGTCGTACATCACTAATACTGTTAGAGAGCAATTCCCCTCATTAGTAAGTTTAGTAGGAACTGTCTCTGTGTACAGTAGTTCGTGGTCATTTCCAAACGTAGACAGATTGGAACAAGTTGTTGTATTTTTGTTTAGGAATTTAGGGTTGATTTCTTTCTCAATTCCATTGTTAGCCTGTAAAAGAACTATCAAACATTACATTCTGCAATACCATGTTTCATGAATGAAATTTATGTTAAACAAAGTACAAAATTATATAAATTTTACACTTTGGGGTTCATTTCTTGATTTTGACCCAAAAGATCAGACCCCATAGTACGGTATGACTGTGCCTTCCCTAAACTGATGTAAATCTGCACCATCATAAAATATTTATTATCATAATGATTAGATATTTAGATGTATAGAGAATTTATCTAAACTATGAGAAGCTTTGAATTAAAAAAAGCGGTCAATTTAGACAGAAAAGTCCGGGTTGCATTTGTATACCAAATACAGTAAACTCCGCTTATAACGAACTCAGTGGGACATTCAAAACATGTTCCTTATATCCGGAGTTCCTTGTAAGCATATAGCGAATTAGTTCGTTGTATCAGGAGTTTTTATAGCGAACAGATTTACATATAACGAACTGATTGTTTACCATTGTCCGCCAGTTTTGAAGAGAATTTGATTAAGAAATAAAAATATTAGTCATTTATTTATATTTTAGACACACTACCCGAGAGCGTACTTTTTGGAATTTGAAAATCATTGCTATTTCAGTTTTAGTTTTACTCCTTATCTCAATTTCACATTAAATATAATATTTTGTTTCTAAACTATTTTCGTTTTCTTTCCATGATTGAGAATAAACAAGATTTTTGATTTTTCCTTCCTTTTATACTGAGTATCTTCTATTATAATTTAAGGGTGACTTTTACATTTAAATCAAGCGTACTTTGCAGTTTGCAATGGATCATGTTTGCAAGCATGCATGATTATGTTGAAAACCGATTATAAATTATTATAATTATTTTACTCGAGCAAAACTATTGAAGAAAATAAATAAATAACCGTTTTATCTTGGTGAAAAGAGCTCATGCTAAAAATATCCAAAATAAAAAACTATGCAAATTCATTTGAATAGATGTATTGAAGTACATACAACGATAAACGGTACATTCGCCCGAGGAATGAAAACGAAAGTTGAAAATGCGGGATCTATTAACGGATAGCCAATATTTTTTTTTTGAGTTCGTTATAAAAGTGTAATTTTCAGTACTATTTACTAAATTGGGACTAAGAAATGAGTTCCTTATAAGCGATAATTCCTTATAACCGTGTTCGCTATAACCATATATTTTTATATTAAATAAAGAAGGCCAAAATTCGGGCCAAAATAAATTGTTCCCTATAACCGGAAGTTCGCTATAACCGTGTTCGCTATAAGTGAAGTTTACTGTATCATGATGCTGTGATGTTATGAACAAAAATTGCAACTGATCATCCATGTCGAAAATTTTGCTAAGTCGGTAAATAGGATGTGGATCAGCAATAAACCTGAAATCGTATCCTACGATATGGGACTATGCTGTATGCCAAATATCAAGAGCCTGTGATAAGTAGTTACTGAGAAAACTGTTAAGAAAATTTCCTACCATTGACCATTAATGTCAAAATTTTAACTAAGTCGGTAAACAGAATGTGGATGAGCAACAGACCTAAAATCGAATCCCACAGTATGGGATCACATGTCAATGCTGTATGCCAAATATCAAGAGGCTGTGATACAGTAGTTGCTGAGTAAACTGTTACGAAAATTTCTTACCATTGGCCATTAATGTCGAAAATTTAAATTACGTCAGTGAACAGGAAGTGGATAAGCAACAGACCTGAAATCAAATCCCACGGTATGGGACCACGTAACAATGCTGTATGCCAAATATCAAGAGGCTGTGATAAGCAATTGCTGAGAAAACTGTTACGAAAAGTTTTTCCCAGCCCACTTGAGATCTTATTGATGTTTACATTTGTTAGATATCAGACATGCTATTTTGTGAAAGTAACTTCCGCTATTAGCAAATCTGAAGTATTGTATTCTTAAATATGTACTCATATTGTCCTCAAGAACTTATTTTCTATTTGTGGCCATTTAGACCCAATTTTCAGGCTCAAAATCAAATGTCACAAGTTAAATTTGAAAGAAACGTTGATCTACAGCTTAAGCATTTCATTGATGTTACAGATTATTTAAGGTAACAAAATGTATTTATTTTATGTATTACAAAAATCCAGCCCTTTTGATTTTACATGTAGTTTTTTCTCTGTTGAAAGTTGTTGAAATGACTTGCATTGAAACTAATAAATGAATGAGTGGCAAGCGTTGTTCAACCACTCGATCACGGACGCTTCTTAAAATGCACTGTGTTCAATTATAAATCTTATTTGTAAATTAATAACAAAGTAATGAAAATATATGCTTAATTAAATAATTTTGATCTTTGTGACCAATGTTATGTAAAGTAAAGGTCAATGTCATATTTGAATAATTCTTTCTTGAAGGTCAATGCCATTTATCAGTTAATGCAAGTACTGACACATTTAATATCTAAATATATTCTAAAATAAACTTACACATATCTTTATCCATTTGAAAGACACGTTCATTTCCTTAGAAACACAGGCAGATGTGGCTGTTAAGGTATTTGGACCTGTATAAAATCTTGGCCTGTAGTCTGTAAAAAAAAAACATTTTAATCATTGAACAAAATAAGAAATTGTGCCTTTACAAAAATGAAATTTGTAGGTAAAAATAAGTTAGATCAATAACCAAAATTGTTTAAATTATAAACATGCTGCCAACATTTACCCAGCCCAATGGTGTCATGGTTTTTCCCTGCATAGTATACTTCAAAGATCTTCTCCTAGAAAACTGCAGAGGCTATATCTTAGATATAAAGCATGAAATATTGTTAGTGGACCTCTACAGAAGAAGCTCATATTATAGCTCTTGTGTCAAAATTGGCCCTCACCTAGGGTCATGCGTTTCCTTATATGATATAGTGTTTTGTCCCTTGCAATGTTCAATTTGAAAAAAAATAAGCTGGAAAAAAGCAATAACTCTGAAATAAGTCAAGAAGGAGTCACGGTTTTCATAAAGACTAAACTTCAATATTCATAAACTGCAAATCTACTCAATGAGATCTATCTACCTACAATGTCACTATTTGTTATGTTCCGGACATCGTTCACAGCTTAAAAGTGAAAAACAACAGCACCGCTAGGCGGAGCATTATATGCCCGAAAGTGATTTTTTTTTTTTAAGTCAAGATGAAGCATTTGTAAGAGATGGGAATTAAATAAAGTATTACCTCCTTCTCAAAACAATCCTCCTTTAAAGTTTCAGTATTGAGGTCCAAATGGAACTTAAGTTATGCCTCGGAAACTGTTTTCAGTTCTAAGGTAATACTGACCTTGACCTTTGACCTAGTGACCCAAAATCAATAGGGGTCTTCTACCAAATATGGACAATCATACTATGAAGTTTAAACACAGTGGGCCCAATGAAACTTAAGTTATGTTCCGACAACTGTTTTCAGTTTTAAGGTAATAGTGACCTTGACCTTTGACTTTGTGACACCAAAATCAATAGAAGTCTTCTACCTAATATGGACAATCATCCTATGAAGTTTGAATATTGTGGGCCAAATGGAACTTAAGTTATGCTCAATAAACTGTTTTCAATTTCTAAGTAATAGTGACATTGACCTTTGACCTTTTGACCCCAAAATCAATAGAGGTCTTCAACCCAATATGGACAATCATCCTATGAAGTTTGAATAGTGTGCGCCAAATAGAACTTAAGTTATGCTCCAGAAACTGTTTTTAGTTTTAAGGTAATAGTGGCCTTGACCTTTGACCTTGTGACCCCAAAATCAATAGGGGTCTTCTACCCAATATGGACAATCATCCTATGAAGTTTGAACACTGTGGGCCAAATGGAACTTAAGTTATGCTCCGGAAAATGTTTTCAGTATTAAGGTAATAGTGACCTTAACCTTTGACCTTGTGACCCCAAAATCAATAGGTGTCTTCTACCCAATATTGACAATCATCCAATCAAATTTGAACACTCTGGGCCAAATGGAACTCAAGTTAAGCTCCGGAAACTGTTATCAGTTTTAAGGTAACAGTGACCTTGACCTTTGACCTTGTGACACCAAAATCAATAGGAGACTTCTACCTAATATGGACAATCATCCTATGAAGTTTGAATATTGTGGGCGAAAAGGAACTTTAGTTATGCTCAAGAAACTGTTTTCAATTTCTAAGCAATAGTGAACTTGACCTTTGACCTTGTGACCCCAAAATCAATAGGGGTCTTCAACCCAATATGGACAATCATCCTATGAAGTTTGAACACTGTGGGCCAGATGGAACTTAAGTTATGCTCCAGAAACTGTTTTCAATTTTAAGTACATAGTGACCTTGACCTTTGACCTTGTGACCTCAAAATCATTAGGGGTCTTCTACCCAATATGGACAATTATCCTATTAAGTTTGAATAATGTGGGCCAAATGGAAATTAAGTTATGCTCTGGAAACCAAATTGCTAACCGATGGACTCCAGGGGGAATAACATAATATCAGTCTTCGAAATTAACGCCAGTCCGAGGCCCGAGGCCACTAAATTTAGCATCGGTCTGGTGATTATTGCAAGGTTGGTGGTCCGATGGTCCAGTAGATTTTTTGTCATGAAAAAATATTATAAGAAAAATTCATCAAAAAAATGAAGCAGGGTTCTCTAAAAGATTGATCTTTTTGCCTTTTTAACAAATAAAACCCATCAATTCTGTCCTAAATGTTCAAAACACTGCGAGAGATGTCTAAATTGTAGGGCCGGGAATTATGTTCGAATATTCGAATATTCGAAACACTACCGAATATTCGAACATTGAAAAACGAATACGAATATTCGAAAAAAAAAGTGTTTTTTTTGTAATTACTTTCAAATTTCAATTAAGATAGCAAATTAAACCATTGACCTTTACTTGACCAGTTGTTCACACATTTGTATGCCACGTGTCAACGATTATCGCCAATTAACTGTGAAAACTTTGGGGTCTATAGTTGATCAAAAGGGCACCCGTTTCACAGTTTGCAATTTACCTGTTGAACAGAATATAATGTAATTTTCCGATTTTAATTATCTTATTTATTGTTTTCTGTGCAATAATCTGTCCGATTAATCAGTCATTGTCTTAAATTTTGTGAAGACAAAAAATCGACACGTATTAATCGGTGCTTTATGTAAGCATGGTCAGTGTCTATATTCCGTCAAAATATATTTATTCCGTAGCAACTAAGACTCCGTGTGATATTTACTGCGTTATAGTTAAATGTATCTGAAGAATATTTTAAACCTTATCTAAAATTATAAATAAATAATATATTTAATTCAAGTTAAGTTTCAATGTAAATTATGTGTATTGGGGGCTAAGAAGCTACGGTGATTCATATTACTGTCAATCAAGTCACGTGAGTTACCTACCGTTAATAAGACCATGAAGACAAATGACCAGCAGTTGGATTAACTGAACAAAAGGCAATCAAATTATGAATTTATTTCAAAAGTAAACATTTATGTCGATTTACAATATATAAAATAAAAAACTTTTATGTAGTTATATAGGTAGTTTTAATCGTCAATTATTCCAAACATATTAAAATTGTACAGTATTCGACACAATCAATTTCGGATACGTATACGTCAAAGAGAAATATTGGTACAAATTTTGTAAAAACGAATATTCGAATATATTCGAATATGGAAAACGAATATTCGAACATCAAATTCCTTATTCGTTCCCAGCCCTACTAAATTGTATTGAGTAATGGAGGCCGCCACTTATTTTTCTTGGATATTTTCCGTACCGCACCGTACAGTTACGGAAATTAAACCATTGTTTATTAAGGTCATTATTTAGCTATGATTTTGTGATTATTGAGTTAACGTAAATATTTTGTGTGAAAGTGATTTGTTTGAAGAAAATTGCGTTGTTCATGTTCAATTCTAGTCAATTTTTGCCTAAACATTTGGTCCTTAATGATTTTTCAAAGCCCAGAATACAAGATATATTATGCTTCTTTCAAAATTCAAGAAAAACAATAAAAAGTGGAACAAACAATCAACACAGGATAAGTTTTAAGGTTTATTTAATGATGATAACCGACGTTTCGACTCTCATGAGTCTTCATCAGGGTTATAAAATCAGTCTTTCAAAATTATCAAGGGAAGCATGATAAGAGTTTTCCTGTACCCATCAATTTATTACCTATCTATGTATTTGGTCCGGCTAAAAATCACCAGGTCCAGTAAGATTTGATATTTTACTGGCTCGAATGTCCTGTGCTTTTTTGAGTTTTTCGTGAAGACTGTAATATGCCCGAAATTCTTTCGGGCATATAAAAAGGACTCCAAAATTAGGCAAGGCAGAGTTACTGTTCTTATAGACTGCATTTCTACTGAATGAACTCAATTTACCTACAAAGTTTCTTGAAACTACCTTTTGTTGTTTCAGTGTTATGTTCTGGAAAAGAAGATGAGGACACACAGACATACGGAAGGACAGACAAAGCGGTCGGCAACCATATTCCCTACCTTATGGGGAACATAAAAAGATTTTCTAGTGTACGAAAAAGCATAAAAAGCTAATGCCACTTGACAAGCAACAAATAATTAATACAATTACAGTAATGAACTAACCCAATTTTTGTCGTGCGCCAGTATTACGTTACTAAGGTAACTTAAATGACCATTCTTTTACACGACACGCCAGTTAGCCGGCTTTTTCTTTTGTTTTCTTATTTGAGACAGATTTCCCCTTCAAATGATATATAATTCATATGGTTTTATTAAAAACTCTCGCAACAATAACTGCATTGCATGAATTTTTTGGACAACCCTCGTATCTCTAACAACTTTGTTCAACTTATAACCATGGAGCTTAAATTGACACCACATAAGTGGATCAAGGATTTCCCTTATTTGTATTTAGTTTCAACCTAAACACTGTGATCCTTTTTTTCTAGATGCAAAATTAAACATTGACATTTTGTTGACCTAGATTTTGACCCAGTGATCTAATCAGGGCTAGATCTATGCACTTTCAACTTTAAACAGAAATTAGATACAGAACGCTGACCTTGGATTTTAATTTCGTCCCTGCTACCTACCTTTATGAAACAGAGCTAAAATATGTAATTTAACTATAGTTTCAGTTGCGAATTAAAATTTGAACTAGAGTTTCTCACAGTGACCTACTCGTTGTATTTAGAGCAACATAATTGAAAATCGAACTTTTAACTGCCACAGATATAATGTTCATATTTGAACTTTCATATAAGCCGATCTAGATTTCGCAAGAATGCCAGTATTTCAGTCATAGTTATCAATATCAACAGTTGTTTCTTTTTTGTGTCTTTATTCAGATATGCGAAGAAGGGCCATTTTGTCCTTCATGGTTATTCTTGTTTTGTTATTGTGTATTTTAGGGTAGTTTGTTTTTTGTTGTTTTTATTACTTTCTTTTTCAAACTCTACAAACGAACAAAGATACGACTTATGAATTATTTAATACCTTATGCCTTACCTCTGACTGTTACGATGTAGGAATCTCTATGAGGTCCATCTGAGCACACTAATTTTCGTCCGTTGTCTTTCTCAGTCACATTTAGTATTGTCAGATTGAAAATGCACCGTTCCAAATCAGCAGAAATGTTGTACTTTTCAGCATAAGGAGTATCTAAGCTGCATTCTTGGCGTTCACATATCGCAATTTTCTCAATATTGTTAGCATTCTTCCATACCACAAATGAGTATGAGCTCCTCTTCATAAACAGACAAGTTAATGTTAGGCTTTTGCCATACGCATCTAGATTTTGATTATTTGTTCTACTAGCTTGCTGTATAGAAATATCTGCGCCTAAAATGAAATAAAAAGAACTGATAACTTGTACATTCAAAGTCTCAATGCCTAAAGAAACATTATATATAATGAATGTCATACATTAATCAGCTGTATCAATTCAAATAGAAAGATATGCAAAAGATAATTAAAAAATAAAGTGAACGCAGAAAATAATTAACATTTGTGTTGTGTGATCTGCTGTGCCAATGCATACTTTTAGAATAACCCAAAAATTGCTACGTAGACAAATGTCCGTTTTATTACCCTGTCGAGATTTAATTCATGAACTGATGAATTTTGATGAACATTCATAAACTGTTCGTTAACTTCATGAATTGTTCTTCAAAAGTTCATTAATGGAGTTCATCAATAAGTTCATGAACCTAACAATTCATCAACATAGTGTAAAACCAGAGAGTTCATGAACTCACTGATCATCAACAAGAGTTGGCTGACCTTGGTTAAACACCCATAATGCAAAAGTCAACATGGCCGCCAGAAACAAAGCTCTACATGTGTTTTAACAAACTTTCGGTGCAAACTTACTTAAAAATGGAATAAATAACAATGACTTAGCAAAATGAAGAAAAAGTGATGTATTTACATAATGGACTATATAAAATCTTATGGAAAATTGTGTCAAAGAAATAAATTGAAGAGGAAACTGGCAAGTCGTGAATTCTAATGACAATTCAATTTGTACATATAGGGAATCAATGAACACAGTGTTTAACAAGTTTCATTACCTGTGTAATGGGCTTTTGTGTTTTGTATTTGTACTAAAACACTGTCTATTGTGCATTTTATGGCTGGTACAAATCAGCAGTCTTAGAATTAAATAAAAATTGATTGTGATGTCACATTATTATGACCCCTGGGAGAAGTTTTTGAATTGTTCGTGAACATATTCATGAACAATTTCATGAATGTGCATTTGAACAAGTTCATCAATGTGCATGAACAACAAATGAGACTTTTTTTCTTTCATATATATATTCATGAATGTTAACGAACATATATTCATGAACATGTTCATGAATATCTTGATTCATGAATTGTCCATGAACGAAAACAAGATTGCATTTGAGAAAAATGCTATGCCACCGCATCAATACAACACTAAATAGTAGTGTAGGAACAGATTTTTTTTGTTTCTATACAATTGAAGATTGTCATAATGCATATCTAATTCTTATTATCAGATTAGTGGTTAAATCTACTGTTAACTCAATAAAAGATCAGAGAAGGAATATTTCAATGCACTTGAGTCTAGTGAATTTGGTGGTGAAGGTCATATTTCACACAGCCTAAAATTTCATGACTGCATCAAAGGACAACATGTAATACACTTTGTCAAAATCTAGGTCAGCTGATATCAAAGTTCACTTTTAATTTTGACACTAGAGGCAAAATTTGAACAACTTTGGTTGAGTACCTATAAATGATATCATTTAACAAATATTAAAGCTCTAAGCCTTGTGCCTTCAGACAATAAGATTTTTTTGATTTTTTTCTATATGTATATATTGAAAATCAATGACCCCAGGGCTATTATTTGAACATTCTTGCCAGATGTTCAGTTCACAATGTTTCATGCAAAGCATCTAACCTCTAGCATTTGTCAATTGCTAGAAGAAATGTTTTTAAAGTTTTTACTATAAGTTTTTACTATGTAAATATGAGGAAAATCAATGACCCCCGGGCCGGGCCGATTTTGACCCAAGGGCTATAATTTGAACAATCTGTAAGAGGTCTATCAGACAATGCCTTATGCAAAATATCTAAGCTCTAGGCCTTTTGGGTCTTTACAAGAAGGTATTTTAAATTTTTACTATATGTACATATAGTGAAAATCCATGACCCCCGGGGCAGGGCCGATTTTGACCCCAGGGCTATAATTTGAACAATCTTGGTAGAGGTCTACCATACAATGCCTTATGCAAAATATCTAAGCTCTAGGCCTTTTGGGTTTTTACAAAAAGGTATTTTAAGTTTTTACTATATGTACATATAGTGAAAATCAATGACCCTCGGGGCGGGGCCGATTTTGACCCCAGGGCTATAATTTGAACAATCTTGGTAGAGGTCTACCATACAATGCCTTATGCAAAATATCTAAGCTCTAGGCCTTTTGGGTCTTTACAAGAAGATTTTCTAAATTTATTCTTATAATTCCTTTTGGTTGCCATGGCAACCAGATTTCTGCATGGAATTAAATTCTTTGAACAACTTTGGAAGCTCTTCACCCAAGGATCAATCCTGCCAAGTTTGGTTGAAATTGGACAAGTGGTTTTTCACAAGAAGATTTTTTAAGTTCACTATATAATCTATATAACACACACACACACAAACAAACAAACAAACACACACACACGCACACACAGGTGAATCGCTATATGCCACCGCATCGCAGATGCTGCGGTGGCATAAAAAGTCTCATTTGTTGTTCATGCACATTCATGAACTTGTCCATGAATATGTTCATGAACAGTTCATGAATTATTCATGGAATTCTCGCATAGATTTACAACAGAAAAACTCATTATGTCATACTTGTAGTACTTGTTTCATACTGTGACATAACCTGTACTCTTTAGTCAATGTTGTATTGTGCCAGGAGTCCGACACTATGAGTCTTAATTATATATAGACAGAGCTGATATGCTCGTAATGGTTTATCCTAATGCCTTGGACAATATTAATTTTATCCCAATTGAACGTTATCTAAACTATAAATACACAAATGACAAAAAATAAAATATAAAATTTGAGCATAAACATAGTATACATGTATAAGTCATTAAAGGCATCAGACCAGTTACCAAATTAACAAAAAAAAACAAACAACAACAAAAACCACACATACACACACCCATAAATACAGTCGGGCACACACAAGAGCGCGTGCGTAGCATCGCTTTACTATGTAAAACGCGGCTATTAAAGTTTTTGAAGCAGTGCAGCACTATCCAAATCATCTCAAAAGAAAACTAGAAATGTGTCCATAGGACACTGGTGCCCCCACCGCGCCACTGTTCTGTCAATCTTATGACTCTAGGTCAAATATTTTTTGAAAACTAAAAATCTTTTACTAAGTAAAGGGCAAGAACTTTACAAATACTGAATAAATCCACAAGCAAACCCCAAGGTGCATAAGCACACATGCTGACCAACATTCTTGTGAACTTTCAGGCCTACAAGTGAAATACTTTTTGAACTATGCATGAACAAGTTGAAAATTGCAAATTTATACTACTGTAAGTCAAGGGCAATAACTGTAACAAAACTGAAAAAAATCCACATGCAAATCATAGCTTCACAGTGACGTGAATCATTATTCCTGTCATTTAGTGATGTTGATCATTATTCCTGTAAAGTTCGTTGATTCTAACTCAAGCACTGAAGGAACAAATAACAACATAATGAAACTGTTTTCACTAAGTCAAGGCTAATAACTCTACAAATACTGAGTAAATCCACAAGCGAAATCCCAGGTGAAAAACTAAATATGCTGAGCAACCTTCCCGTAAGGTTTAATAACTCTAGGTCAAATCCTTTCTGAATTACATGCAACACAAGTTGACAATTGCAAAAATTTTATAAGTCAAGGGCAATAACTCTAAAAATACTAAATAAACCCAGACGAAAATACCCAGTGCACAACTACACATGCTGATCAATATTCCTGTGAAGTTCATGACTCTATGTCAAATACTTTTTGAGTTACATGTGACACAAGTTGAAAATTGCAAAATTTTACTAAGTCAAGGGCAATAACTCTAAAAATACTAAATGAATCCAGACGAAAGTACCCAGGTGCATAAGTACACATGCTGATCAACATTCCTGTAAAGTTTCAAGACTCTGGGTCAAATACTTTTTGAGTTACATGCAACACAAGTTGAAAATTGCAAAATTTTACTAAGTCAAGAGCAATTACTCTAAAAATACTAAATAAATCCAGACAAAAATACCCAGTGCACAATTACATATGCTGATCAATATTCCTGTAAAGTTTCATGACTCTATATCAAATACTTTTTGAGTTACCTGCGACACAAGTTGAAAATTGCAAAATTTTACTAAGTCAAGGGCAATAACTCTAAACTACTAAATAAATCCATACGAGAATACCCAGGTGCATAACTACACATGCTGATTAACATTCCTGTAAAGTTTCATGACTGTAGGTCAAATACTTTTTGAGTTACATGCGACACAAGTTGAAAATTGCAAAATTTTACTAAGTCAAAGGCAATAACTCTTAAAGTACTAAAAATACACAAAAATACCAAGGTGCACAACTACACATGCTGATCAACATTCCTGTAAAGTTTTATGATTCTAGGTCAAACACTTTTTGAGTTATGTGCAACACAAGATGAAAATTGCAAAATTTTATTAAGTCAAGGGCAATAACTCTGAAAATACTAAAAATATGCAGACAAAATACCGAGGTGCACAGCTACATATGCTGATCAACATTCCTGTAAAGTTTCATGACTCTAGGTCAGATACTTTTTGAGTTACTTGCGACACAAATTAGAGAACGAACGGACATTCCAACATTTTGGGTTTAGGGGCTATTTTCTTTTTTATTTTCTTTGTTTTCTTAAGGGCTACTAGCCCATAAACCCTTTGATCACGGAATGAACTTATTATTCTCTTTTGTTTTCTTTACTGTTGAACTACAGACAGTTGCACTGCAACAGTATAATGTATACAGAGATAAGAAAACATTGTTTTTCCATTTGAGGAAAATGTAAATAAAAAATGTTTTGCCACAAAGCAATAAATCTTAAAATGGCCCTTATGGTAAAGCTTGTTAATATTAATGTTTTTAAATTCTTTTGTTTTTATTGACGACTTGCAAAGTTAATCGACACTATCGTTCCGTAGTAAATCATGTGTCTTATTCAAAGTTCTAAAACACTCAGCCGAATAATTACCCTTATTTCGATCCCCCAAAAATAAATGTCAGACGTACCTATGTAATTTTGTCATAGTCGACCAATGTCTAAATTAGGGATTATATTTCTTAAGTAGCTAGTAGATTAAACAAAAAGTATCCTAATGTTTTGTTACATATCATGTTACATATATGTTTGTAATGTTTGCAGTGCTTGCTTAACAATTATATCATAAATTTGTGTAGCTGAAAATTTTTTTTGCAAACATAGAAATTAAATTATAAGCATAGTGATATTGATGTCTCTTCAAAGTAGGACATCTCCTCATTTAATTAGTATTTATTTAGATGCCCCTATTACTTGTGTTTACGTTTGACTTTATATCAACATAGATATGCAGATATATTGCGATATAGAATACATACACTTTGAAATTTAGAACAACAGGCATGGTACAAATATTTAACAAATATGAAAAAAGAGTATCATCATAAGCTATAACATGCACAAAAAGATAGTACATGTACTCCTATTTCCATTTTCTTATGACATATCCATATGTCAAGTTTGAGTTGAATGTGTTGTACCGTTGGGGAGATAATGAACGGAAACTGAAATTTCATATTATTTTCAAAGTAAAAGGGGCATAACTCTGCCAAAAATCATTGAACCATGACCAAATTCGAACTTGACCTGTATTTTCTCATGACATATCCATATGTCAAATTTGAGTTAAATGTGTGCAACCGTTCTTAAGATAATGAACGAAAACTGATGATGACGGAATGACAGAAGGACGGAAGGACGGAATGACGGAACAGGGTAACACTATATGCCCCGGCCATTACATGGCGGGGGCATAAAAAGACATACATCTGAGGAATTAGAGAGTGCAGCCTTCCACTGTCAGAAGCATAAGCACTGATTTGGAGTTTAAACCGGTTAATGATGGACCAAATCTCACTCATAGCCCCACAACGGTCCTTTTCAACAAGGCAATGTAAATGAAAGGAATCCCCGCCGAGTGAAATTTCTAACAGTTGTAATAAGTAAAAAAGGTGATATAAGAAAAACACCAAAAATTTAATGGTCATGTAGTTACATATAAAAGATAACCCAATGACCATAACATAAGTACTCAATGTCTTAAAGAAAGACAGGGCAACAAGAAAATAACCTACAAGGGCCGGACGAAATTGAGTGTTTTATGAATTCTATTTTTAACGAAACAATGTGGTAAATAAAGTAAACTGTTTACCTGTAACTTTTATGACGTGCGAATCAGAGCTAGATCCATCTGAACACACCAGTTTTCTTCTGTTGTACTGCATAGTCATATGTATAATTGTCAAATTAAAAATCCCTCCTGTCAAATCAGCTGAATAATCGTACTGCCCAATATAATCATCATTTAAACTGCATTTGTGTTGTAACAGTGAACATTCCGCAATTTTTCGTCTATCATTTGACATCCTCCATACGACAACAGTTCTGTTTGTTTTAAACTTACAAGTTACTGTAAGATTTCTGTTACATTCATATGGTTTTTCATTCATAAAACTTTTTGTTATCTGTACACCAACACCTGTGTCTGAAATTAAACAGAATATATTATGTTATGTTAAGTCATTATACTATACTATACTATACTATACTATACTAAACTATACTATGCCATGCCATACCATACCATACCATACTATACTATATCATATTTTAAATTCATATTATGAAAAGTTACCTAACATATTAAGCATATTATTAGGTTATTTATAATACAAGAGGGCCATGATGGCCCTGAGGTCGCTCACCTGTATATAGGCCCCCCAACCCCCACCACCCCCCCAACGTTGCAGAGCCAATTTAACCCAAGGGCTTTTATTTGCACAAACTTGGTAGACACCCATAAGAAGATGTTTCATGCTAAACATTTAAGCTCTAGCTCATTGGGCTTTTTAAAAGAAGATTTTTTTAAAGTTTTTAGTATACACATATAGTTAAAAACAATGACACCCCTGGGGCCGGGCCAGTTTTGACCCCAGGGCTTTTATTTGAACAAACTTTGTAGACACTTACTAGAAAATGTTTCATGCTTAATATCTAAACTCTAGCTATTTGGGTTTTTTCAAAGAAGATTTAAAGTTTTTGCTAAACACATATAAAGAAAATCAATGACCCCCGGGGCGGGGCCAATTTTGACCCCTGGGCTTGTATTTGAACAAACTTGGTAGACACCTATTAGAACATGTTTCATGCTAAATATCTTAGCCATAGCTCTTTGAGTTCTTTAAAAGAAGATTTTTTAAGTTTTTACTATATGCATATAGGGAAAATCAATGACCCCCCGGGGCGGGGCCAATTTTGACCCCAGGGCTTTTATTTGAACAAACTTGGTAGACACCCATTAGAACATGATTCATGCTAAATATCTTAGCTCTAGCTCTTTGGGTTCTTTAAAAGAAGTTTTTTAAGTTTTTACTATATGCATATAGGGAAAATCAATGACCCCCTGGGGCGGAGCCAATATTGACCCCAGGGCTTTTATTTGAACAAACTTGGTAGACACACACTAGAAGATGTTTCATGCCAAATATCTAAGCTCTAGCTCTTTGAGTTCTTTAAAAGAAGATTTTTAAGTTTTTACTATATGCATATAGGGAAAATCAATGACCCCCGGGGCGGGGCCAATTTTCACCCTAAGGCTTTTATTTGAACAAACTTGGTAGACACCCATTAGAACATGTTTCATGCTAAATATCTTAGCTCTAGCTCTTTGGGTTCTTTAAAAGAAGATTTTTTAAGTTTTTACTATATGCATATAGGGAAAATCAATGACCCCCCGGGGTGGGGCCAATTTTGACCCCAGGGCTTTTATTTGAACAAACTTGGTAGACACTCACTAGAAGATGTTTCATGCCAAATATCTAAGCTCTAGCTCTTTGAGTTCTTTAAAAGAAGATTTTTTAAGTTTTTACTATATGCATATAGGGAAAATCAATGACCCCCGGGGCGGGGCCAATTTTCACCCCAGGGCTTTTATTTGAACAAACTTGGTAGACACCCATTAGAACATGTTTCATGCTAAATATCTTAGCTCTAGCTCTTTGGGTTCTTTAAAAGAAGATTTTTTAAGTTTTTACTATATGCATATAGGGAAAATCAATGACCCCCCGGGGCGGGGCCAATTTTGACCCCAGGGCTTTTATTTGAACAAACTTGGTAGACACTCACTAGAAGATGTTTCATGCCAAATATCTAAGCTCTAGCTCTTTGAGTTCTTTAATAGAAGATTTTTTAAGTTTTTACTATATGCATATAGGGAAAATCAATGACCCCCGGGGCGGGGCCAATTTTCACCCCAGGGCTTTTATTTGAACAAACTTGGTAGACACCCATTAGAACATGTTTCATGCTAAATATCTTAGCTCTAGCTCTTTGGGTTCTTTAAAAGAAGATTTTTTAAGTTTTTACTATATGCATATAGGGAAAATCAATGCCCCCCCGGGGCGGGGCCAATTTTGACCCCAGGGCTTTTATTTGAACAAACTTGGTAGACACTCACTAGAAGATGTTTCATGCCAAATATCTAAGCTCTAGCTCTTATGGTTTTTTAAAAGAAGATATTTAAAGTTTTTTCTTTCGGTTGCCATGGCAACCAGAGTTTTGCATGGAATTAAATTCTTTGAACAATTTTTAAAGGTGACCACCAAAGGAACATTCCTGTGAAGTTTGGATGAAATTGGCTTAGTGGTTTATGAGGAGATGTCATTTAAAGTAAAAGTTTACGGACGGACGGACGGACGGACGACGGACGGACGACGGACGGACGCCGGACGGACGGACGCCGGACGAAAAGCGATCACAAAAGCTCACCCTGTCACTTTGTGACAGGTGAGCTAATAAGTCACACTTAAAAACTTTTAGTTCAATAATCTAATTATTATAAATCAAAGGCAAACATTACGTCTCCTTTTGTACAATCATGTAAAAATATGAAGTTAAACATAAATGACACATACGAGAAATGTTCAAATATAGATGCATTAAATACGTTTTATTAAGAGGATATTTTTTCGTATGAGCGAAATTAGAATATATTTTCACGAAACATGATAAAATGCCACATATTTTCATGAGCCGGGACGACTAGTGAAAATATGTGGCAAATTTTTATCATGTTTCCTGAAAATATACACCATTTTTCATGAAAAAAGAAAAAAATAACCTTTTAATTTAATTTCATTATCAAAGATCCCCCTTGATTGCTAGGCAGTTGCAATTGCACAGCGTGCAGTAATATTATTATTACTTTTTTTGCGCGCGATATTTGGCGCTAACATTGTGATGTCACGTAAACAACTCATTGTACATCTGTACAGCATTTATAACTGAATAAAAGATATTGGTGTTCGGATTTATTTTCTTAGTTACACCATTTTCTATCATTCTAGATAGACTAGTTTTCAAAACAAAATTCAACAAAAGTGGTTTTGTATTTATCAGATTTTTTAAAACAATATGGCGAAAGAAGTCACTTAAATAAATATTAGAGTTTTTGCTCCGCCCACTTTCATATTTATATTTCATATTTATTTTAGTTCATATATTACAAAATATGAAATATATTTGACTTATATAGCACCATATTTCATGGGTAAAATTAAATAATGTTCAATATTGCATAAAACACAAGTGGGTAGATATACATGTTAGCTTTACATTTATACCACATTCATTAAAATCCATTCACTTTAGGCTAGCTGTGTTTATACATGTAGCTCGCTATATATTGCCTACTCGCATACTGTTATACAAAAATGATTGGTAGAGTACACCACTGAAATATGGTCTTATATGAATATTGTTGCTTCCTTAACATTGGGTGTAAAGACATCTTTAACCCTTTACCTCATATATATGCGAAACAATGCACTTTCGACCCCCCCCCCCTTTTTTTAGGCCTCAAATAGTGAAAAAATGTCCTATCTGGGCCCCCAAACACATGTTTTCGTTTGAGAAATGTTGCTAAAAAAATTGAGCACTTTTTTGGCGCCGCATCCATCCAAAAGATACATCAGGGGGTTGCCAGAAGGGGGATGTGCCCCTTCTGTTAGGGGGGTTTGAAGGGGGGGGGCGGAGTTCCCCTCATTGCCAAGAAAATTTTGGACTTGTGAGAGGCTAAAAATGATCCCAGGTCGATCATAATGTAACGTGTAACCAACGCTGAAAAGCCTTTGACTCTATCTCAATCCCTTGAAAAGTTGCAGCACTATGAAATAAATTTTGATGGAAAAAATCGAGGCAAAATAGTGATTTTTGGCAATTTTGAGATGTCCCCTCTTTGCCATGGTAACAGGAAATTTAAGACTGAGCATGTCGTTACAAAGGCAATGATCCAGTCAACATCTGTGCCAAGTTTGATTAGTATTGAAGCATTTTTCATAGTTTCATAGCAGTTTGAACTTGTAATAGGAGGCTTTTCAGTGAAAACGGACATTTTTCACAATATGCTCATGGGGGAAAGGGTTAATGAAATCTGTTCTGTTTATGGACAAAATGTTGTTTTTTCACAAGTTATTCTTTGGTTTAATAAATTCAAATATGGGCTAGTTTCGACAGGAGATGCACTCCATGCCCGTCGGCTTAACACGGCAACGACCAAAAGTAAAATAAACAGTTAATTCAGATAAAGGATACACCACCATACAGGCACATAGCTATTCTCGTTGGTGCCTCACAAGGAGCAATTCATGCCATTCTAAAACGTGATTTGACAAGAGCCGGCGGGGGCAACACTCTACTTTTTACTTTCTCTAAAAGCAAAAAATTAATTATTCTGTTTTGTCACACAAGTTTTGTCTATATATTTAATATATATAAATATACTAATTTATATATATATAAATAGAGACACCCAATTCGAAGTCACATGGTGGTGTCACGTGGTGAAGTCTGGTGGTGGTGTCATGTTGTGGAGTCACTTGTTAGAGTCACGTTGTGGAGTCACATAGTGGAGTCCCATGGTGGAGTCACGTTGTGAAGTCACGTGGTGGAGTCACAACTGGTGGAGTCACATGGTGGTGTCACGTGGAAGTCACGTGGTAGTCACGTGGTGGTGTCACATGGTGGAGTCACGCGGTGGAGTCCAGTGGTGGAGTCACGTGGAGGAGTCATGTGATGGAGTCACATGATGGAGTCACGTGGAAATCACATGGTAGTCATGTGGTGGAGTAACATGGTGGAGTCACGTGGTGTAGTCACGTAGTGAAGTCATGTGGTGAAATCACGTGGTAGAGTCACGTGGTGGAGTCACATGGTGAAGTCACATGGTGGAGTCACGTGGAAATCACGTGGTAGTCATGTGGTTGAGTCACGTGGTTGTGTCACGTGGTGGAGTCACGTGGTGGAGTCACGTGGTGGAGTCACATGGTGGAGTCACATGGTGTATTTGTGGTGTAGTCACATGGTGGAGTCACGTTGTGAAGTCATGTGGTGGAGTCACGTAGTTGTGCCACGTGGAAGTCACGTGGTGGTGTCATGTGGTGGAGTCATGTGGTGGTGTCACATGGTGGAGTCACATGGTGGAGTCGCGTGCTGGAGTCATATGGTGGAGTCATGTGGTGGAGTCACGTGTAGGAGTCACGTGGTGTAGTCATATAGTGAAGTCATGATAAACAACCAGGTCTTGTCATTAAGTATGTTCTGTTATAATATGAAGTTGATCCAGGTGCAATAATAGCAAAGTAACAGCCAGTTACAGCCAAAACAAAGTCAAGGTCATTCATGAGTGAAGGTCAAGGTCTGTCGGGTTATTTTTAAGGGTTATCCTTGAAGATTATTATGTTCAAGTTTGAATTCAAAAATAACAAAGTTACAGCCAATAATAGCCAAAAACATGAAAATTTCAATAATTTGACCTTCAAAGTCAAGGTCATTTATGAGTGAAGGTCAAGGCCTGTCAGGTTATTTTTAAGGGATATCCTTGAAGATTATTATGTTCAAGTTTGAAGACAATCCATTCAAAAATAACAAAGTTACAGCCAATAACAGCATGAACAAGCAAAATTTGGACTTTTAACCTTGAAGGTCAAGGTCATTTATAGATGAAGGTCAAGGTTAGTGTGGTCTACTGAAAGGTCTTGTCCCAAGGGTAGTTGTGGCCAAGTATGAAAACAATACACCTAGAAATAAAAAAGTTATGATCCAGGTACAAATTTGCGGACGGCAACGGCAAGGGATACGGCAACGCAGCAGTGACTAACAATACCTCTACTTTTTTTTTCAAAAGAAAAAAGTCGAGCTAAAAATGAGAAAGATCTGTGCTAGATTAATTCCCAATTTGCTCATTTGCTGACAGATGAGCAGACAATGTATTGCGTGCAATGCGCTAAGCTGCATAATCAGTATCCATATTACAATGCAGGGTCTTTTGCAAAATGTTTTCTGGTCACGAAACATGGCGCCAAACCAAAAGATTTCGAAACAAGATTTGAGCTACAAACTCTAGAAACAAACTAAGCATTGTAAAATAAAGAAAATCATATATTCTATTATCTTTACAACTCAGAGTCCCGTCATTTGGGTTGTTTTAATCCTTTTGGTGACTTTGCTAATGCCAAAATTTACAGGACAGAGGTTCTTCGAAAACCGAACAAATACTTTCAAAAAAAAATGCCTGCAACAGGTTTGGCATTTGTCAGATTGCTATACGACAATGTTTCATCGCACAAGAGCCTGAGTTTATAGTGCAAGACATTTGGAAAAAAGTTGTTGTGCTCCCCCTTTCTCCATATTTACTTAATACTTCCATTGTGACTTCTTATTGTTTCCAAAGCTAAAAAAATACTTTCAGGCAAACATTTATTCACCTCAAGGCTCTGCTATATAACAGTTTTCATTGTATACCTAGAAAGGCTTTGAAAATGCCTTCAATTGGATCTTTGCATGTCTGTTGAAGGTGAAATTCCTTTTAAGGAACAAAATAACAAATTCAGTGAAACCTATAAAGAATCATGTTTTACATGATTAGGTGCATTCATATTTGACCACTCCTCATATTCTGAGTAATATGATAATATAACTTGAAAACAATGAATATTATACCTGTGGACATGGTTACACTTGTTGCTGCCAGTATCAACAAAGAGATGAGAAGATTATTCTGAAAAAAGTAAAACAAGTACATAAATTACGAGTAAAAAATCATTTCAAAACTAGATCCTCATAGACTGTGAATTTTCTGTCGTTATATAAGCCGTGCCCCGATTATATAAGTTGTTTAAACAAAAATAAAATTGTAGTATATAGTTTCAAGTGTATTGAAACAGCATATTTGCAATAGTGATTTAAATTTTTTTTTTTTAATGCGTTTATTTAAGGTCGCCGCCGGAAAGCCCATATGGGCGACCGTACACTCAAATCGGGCCATCTTTGAGCATCCCTCCGAGATTTTTTTGTTGACTTTTTTCCAGCTTTATCGGTGGAGGAAAACCCTAGGTGCCCCTCTGGGCATTATTTCAGGCACAAGTAGGCACCTGGGTAGAACCACAGACCTTCCATAAGCCAGCTGGATCATGCTTCCTCACATGAAAGATTTCGACCCGAGTGAGGAATCTACAGCGATGAGGGACCTGTGATCTCAAGTCAAACAAATGGAGCTCAATATGTAATGATTTGACAGTAATGGTATATAGATTCTGAATTTATCAAAGAACTTAGAAGTCAACATGAACCCTTAAGCGGTGATGAAAGTAAAAGTATACTTACGTTTATTGTTAGGTCTAACAAACTTTCAAACTGGGAAACTACAGACTTAACATTTGATAACATCTCTACTTGTTCTTTAAATTCTGAAATAGAAAAATAAAAGTGTTTGCTATTATTGATTGTAAACAAGATCGTTGTTGTATTTTATTTTAATTTAATTTGACCATTCAGCTGACCTTTTATTGGATACTTGGCTAGAATTATTAAGGAGCAACTTAATATCAAATATCTGACTTGTATATGATGATTTATAATACAGCTCATTTGTAAAGGCGCTATACATTGGATGATTATGACGTTCATATGAATTATATTCACTGTTTCTGTCAAATAATAAAGTAATACAATGTCATGTTTCTCAAATAAAGTGAGTTTGCTATATTGCATGTATACATTCTTTATAAAGATTATTAACAGGTTATTATATCACTAATTGTCAACGATGGTTTAATGCAACGTAAAGCTCGCCTAGCAGCTCGATTTAGAAATTGAACCAACCGCCATATATCCTGACAAAAATCGTTATAACTAATACTGCACTGAAACAAGAGGGCCATGATGGCCCTGAGGTCGCTCACCTGTATATAGGTCCCTGGAGCGGGGCTAGTTTAAACCCCAGGGCTTTTATTTGAACAAACTTGGAAGACACCCATTAGAAGATGTTTCATGATGTTAAGTTTTTACTACACACATATAATGAAAAACAATAACCTTCCCACCCCCCACCCCCTGGCAGGGCCAATTTTAATCCAAAGGCTTTTATTTGAACAAACTTGGTAGACACCCATAAGATGTTTCATGCTGAACATCTAAGCCCTAGCTCATTGGGTTTTTTAAAAGAACATTTTTTTAAGTTTTTACTATACACATATAGTTAAATACAATGACACCCTGGGGCGGGACCAATTTTGACCCCAGGGCTTTTATTTGAACAATCTTGGTAGACACTCATTAGAAGATGTTTCATGCTTAATATCTTAGCTCTAGCTCTTTGGGTTCTTTAAAAGAAGATTTTTTTAAGTTTTTACTATATGCATATAGGGAAAATCAATGACCCCCTGGGGCGGGGCTAATTTTGACCCCAGGGCTTTTATTTGAACAAACTTGGTAGACACCCATTAGAAGATGTTTCATGCTAAATATCTTAGCTCTAGCTCTTTGGGTTCTTTAAAAGAAATTTTTTTAAGTTTTTACTATATGCATATAGGGAAAATCAATGACCCCCTGGGGTGGGGCCAATTTTGACCCCAGGGCTTTTATTTGAACAAACTTGGTAGACACCCATTAGAAGATGTTTCATGCTAAATATCTTAGCTCTAGCTCTTTGGGTTCTTTAAAAGAAATTTTTTTAAGTTTTTACTATATGCATATAGGGAAAATCAATGACCCCCTGGGGCGGGGCTAATTTTGACCCCAGGGCTTTTATTTGAACAAACTTAGTAGACACCCATTAGAAGATGTTTCATGCTAAATATCTTAGCTCTAGCTGTTTGGGTTCTTTAAAAGAATTTTTTTTTAAGTTTTTACTATATGCATATAGGGAAAATCAATGACCCCCCAGGGGAGGGGCCAATTTTGACCCCAGGGCTTTTATTTGAACAATCTTGGTAGACACTCATTAGAAGATGTTTCATGCAAAATATCTAAGCTCTAGCTCTTTGGGTTTTTTAGAAGAAGATTTTTTAAGTTTTTACTATATGCATATAGGGAAAATCAATGACCCCCTGGGGCGGGGCCAATTTTGACCCCAGGGCTTTTATTTGAACAATCTTGGTAGACACTATTTAGAAGATGTTTTATGCTTAATATCTTAGCTCTAGCTCTTTGGGTACTTTAAAAGAACATTTTTTTAAGTTTTTACTATATGCATATAGGGAAAATCAATGACCCCCTGGGGCGGGGCCAATTTTGACCCCAGGGATTTTATTTGAACAATCTTGGTAGACACTCACTAGAAGATGTTTCATGCCAAATATCTTAGCTCTAGCTCTTTGGGTTTTCTAGAAGAAGATGTTTAAAGTTTTTTATTTTGGTTGCCATGGCAACCAGAGTTCTGCATGGAATGGAATTCTTTGAACAACTTTGTTAAGACTTCACACAAGGAACATCCCTGTGAAGTTTCATTATGATCTGCCTTATGGTTTCAGAGGAGATGTCGTTTGAAAAGTGTGAACGGACAACGTACGACGGACGACAGACGACGTACGACGGACGAAGAGTGATCCTAATAGCTCACCCTGAGCATATGCTCAGGTGAGCTAATTAAAAAAGATAAAGCAGTCGAATCAAAACTGGCCTTATGAAAACATGAACACTATTTTGAATACCACGGTATCGTGTTCTTCATATACTTGTAGATATCGTTTTAGTTTACTAATTAATAGTACTATTACTAATAATTAAGTTAACTGTATACAATATGTTCAGTATTTAGTTTCAGGTTTAAACTGTTGACCTATATTAACTACAAGGGTGGTTCAATTTGTAATGCAGTATGATGAGCAAAATGTATTACAAAGAGCAAATATTTTATAATTTTCTATTTCAGCCCTTCAGATGTTTATTCAAATCTACATTTGTAGCAATGACCTTCAAGTTTGTTTCAAGTTTTTGCTTTTACAATATATTTTGATAAATAAACCTCTCTGTACATGGATTCAACCTGGGTAAAAATGCGTCTTATTTTGACATCAAAAAAAATTTAACAGTACTTACATTTTCATTCAACATAAATAATCATTAGTATCAACATAAAAATATCTTTAAAAAAATAGATAACAGGCAGATTCTATGAATGTGCCTGACTACTGTGTAATAGAACGACTTGTTTACAGAATAAGTTGGAGTCTCTTATTGGAGTTGCTCTCTTTTTTTATCCCAATAGAAAACTTTAAATATTTGTAAAATAAACAAAAACGTGTTTATTAAACACAAATGCGCCCGGCTCAGATTCTTGTCAGTAGCAATATTTCAAAAATGTTTACCCATTCACTCAGTTATGGACAGAAAAATTGCCAAAAAATTGTAAACACAAGTTATATAGCTTGACAAAGTCACCGACATGGCATTTTGTAATTGTGAAAAATATAAGTTGCTAAGTCATTGCTCTGACTTAATGTGAAGTTGAAAAATATTCAACTTCATGCATTAAAGTTATCTTCCTACCAAATATGAAATACATCTGTCATTAAATAAAGGCTGTATGGGCAAAAGTGTAAAAATATATTTTGAGCACTGGTGACCTTGACCAAACTGACCCCTAACTCTATCCAAAAGAAGAATACCATGTCAGTTATCTTCCTACCAAATATGAAATACATCTGTCATTAAATAAAGGCTGTATGGGCAAAAGTGTAAAAATTTATTTTTAGCACTGGTGACCTTGACTAAACTGACCCCTTACTCCATCCAAAGGAAGAATACCATGCAAGTTATCTTCCTACCAAATATGAAATACATCTGTCAATAAATAAAAGCTGTATGGGCAAAAGTGTAAAAATCTATTTTTAGCACAAGTGACCTTGACCCACTGATCCCTACCCCAATCAAAAGGATGAATACCATGCAAGTTATCTTCCTACCAAATATAAAATATATCTGTCAATTAATAAAGGCTGTATGAGCAAATGTGTAAAAAGCTATTTTTAGCTCTGGTGACCTTGACCCAACTGACCACTAACTCCATCAAAGTTTATGTTTCTATCAATGATAAATAACATTTGTCTATAGAATTAGGTCAATACACCTGTAAAAATTTAAAAATCTATTTTTAACATTGGTATTTAAAAATCTATTTTTAACATTGGTGACCTTGACATTGGTAATATTGACCTTGACCCAAAGGACTACACCCAAAGAAGGAGGATCTCCTTTGGCATGTTTGTATTAAACTAAAACATCAACTAAAAAATAAAGGCTTTATGAGCAAAAATGTTTATATTTATTTTTTAAACCAGTGACTTTGACCTTGACTCTAGAGACCGCTTACCGGTACTCCACAAAAAATTAGAGGACCATCAAAGGTATCCACCTACTAAGTATGAAAGATATCATTAAAGAAATTAAGCAATTGGGAGAAATTTAAGATAAATCCAACTTGCCGAAATAGGTAAACCAGACAAGGCCCTTAATTTTCAAAGTGAAAAAAGGGAAATAACTGGGAAATATGGATGACACAGTTATATAACTTGGCAATATCATGTACTTTGTATTGATAAGTAAGTGTGGAAATTATAAAGCCATTAGTATAGATAGAACTTCAGATATTTCCAACTTGCTGTTTTAGGTTAACCATTATTCATTTTCTAAGTGCTGAAAAGGGCAATAACTTGGTAAATATGAAAGCCAGAGTTAAATAACTTGTCCAGATCATGTACTTTATATTGATTAGTAAGTGTGTAACTTAGAAGCCATTGGTACAGGTAGAACTTATGAAAAATCCTACTTGCCGTTCTAGGTTAACCTCGTATGGACAGACAGACGTCCGGCCGAAATGGAATAAAGGGCCATTTCTTTTGTTATTTTCTATTGTTTAATAGAGGGCCAATGGCCCTCTACTCTATTGTTACAGAATGAACTCTATTGTCATCTTTTGTTCTGTTTACGGTTAGATGGCCCCTTATCCCTATTCGGTAGTGCGGACAGACAGACAGACGGACAGACTGATGGACGGACGGTTCAATTACTATATGCCCGGGGGCATAAAAAAACAAACAAACAAACATGGTCCAAAGTAATCTTGAGTGATCTAATTTAATAAAATATTAATTAAAACAAGCGTCATCAAAGTGCGCTTTTTTTCCCCATACTAGAATTGGAGAAGCGAATAGTTTAATGAAAGAAAGTCATGCAGATCCTTTCATCCACAGTGGTCAAATTTGTTTTACAACCAGAACAGAACAGGGAAATAATTATTTCACGTGGAGAAAGACATAGTTACAGAAATGAATGACCACTTGCTTTGTATTTGAATAGTTTTTAAGTTAAATCAATTCTAACGCAACGCATCATAAGTTGATTATAGTCCATTATGTGATAAAAGTTATAAATTCAAATCTTGGATACATGAAATGAAAGAGAAATCTATAAAGAATAATTTACTAGTTGTTTTTGTAAATAAAACACATGTATACAACATGACTTACAATCGAGCATCCGGGGGGGGAAAAGACAGATAGTATATAAATAACATATGGTTTGTGGGTAACATGTAGTAAAAATATCATCCCAAGGAAAATACTGTTACCTGTTTTTAGAGTATTTTTACTGGGGATGGTATTTTTACTGTTACTCACAAACGCATGTGTTATTTCTTTTATTACCCCGAACAAATACTATGATGATCCGAAATTGTCAACTAAATTTAACTTTAACAAAAATAAACCAAGAGTAACAATAACTGTCCTTAGTTACCTGATAGGTGTTCGGTGCGTTGATTGGTCACTACCCCCGCCGCCCCCCACCCACTCTACAACCTCTCAAAACCATGTAAACTGCAGTATTTTTTATTTGAAACATGTTTTTATATTTGGTATATGTTTTAATTTAATTACCTTCATTTCCCACCAAAATAAAAAATTGATATATACATGTATATATTAAGTATCGGAAAAACGGTTTGTTATAGTTCTATATGATGTTTTCATTGAACAGTTATTACAAATAATAATATAATTTTATCATATTTATATGCGCAATACAAAAAAGTATTCATTCATTTCGAATAAACTGCCGTTTAGTCAGGTAATTTTGTCAAAAAACCCAGCGGTCAGGTCTTTGTCGAGTTACACGTGCGGTGACTTTGAGATTACACATCTTCTGATAACTTGAAATGATTGTAATGACAGCTTTATTTCCTTTAAGAGTGATTAATTAATTCCCTATCATTTGGTACCAAGATATTGAAAATTGGTGAAAAAATATTGGAGTTATGGAGTTTATATTAAGATGAAAGCTGAAAAATGAGCGGCGAGTTGCATACCTTTACTAAATATATATATATACATGTATATCAATTTTTTACTTTTTGTGGGAAATGAAGGTAACCAATACCATACGGTACTACATTCCTCCCCGTCCTATCTGTGGCTCCAAGAAGTGAACCAAGCACTGATGCCTCTCTAGTCCAAGAGCAGACTAAAGCTTTCCGGTTCATACCGGCACTGGGCACAAAGATCCTTGCTGGCCGCAGGGAATATCCTCTAAAATCTGTGCCAGCAACGGAACATCTACATTATCAGGAATTGCCCTGATATCAGATGTTCGGTCTCTTATGCAACCTTCACCTACCTTCTCTTCCTCTCCACTGAAGATTTGGCCTTCAGAGAGAGAATGTTGACAATGCTCAACGACCTCACTGGCAAGGACCGGCTGGCCATCAGCATCTGATTGGTTTTCATAAAAATCAATCCTGTAGATGACAGAAAACCTGGTTACCCTGATGGCCACCTAAACTGGCATCGGAAGACTCCACTGGTTTGGTTACCAACGGTACCACCTCATCTACATCTGTGAAGAACTTGACCCAATTCTTATGGGCCTAAATTTTTACAATCTTCACATCCATCACAAGGCAATTGATCCAGCGGCGCTCCAGCAATTCTACCTCGACATCATCCATCAAATGCTAACAGCACAATGTTAATGTTCATTAACTATAAAAAATATGTTGAAATGTCCACACAGGTTTTACTGTATCACAAATCCAGTTGTATATATCAATTAAAGCACACTATAATTAATATATGTGTAAAAGTTCACATAATATCACAAACAGCCTGTTAAATATATCTAAAAAATACCCTTATAGATTCATTATGTTTCCTGTAAATTAAATCAAAGTCAATGTCACCTCACTATTTCGAGGGGTGAAAGCGAAAAGGTTCTAACTCACTTTTTTTACAAAATTCACTTTTTTACATATTTGTAACATAAACACCCATATACATCTTATGTCAAAATATATAAGCTTTAGTTTATTTATAAAAGGTTGAAATGAAAAATTGTCCAAAGGTTCTAAGTGAAATTAACTTTTTTTTTAAAAAGCGAAAGGGTTCTAACTGCAAATGGCAGTTAGAACCTTTTCGCTTTCATCGAGTATAAAATGTACAAGATTAAATAAAAACAACTCAAACTGCATTAAAATAAGTGAAATCATAGCAAGTTTGAAAGCTAAACCTTTTATTGGTATATTATTAAATAATATCACATAAGAAATTCATTAGTTTCAGAGTAGATGTCTTGATTTTGGAAGAAAACTTAAGTACTTAGAACTGTTTCGCAGTTAACTCCACTCATGAAATTATCGATTTTTTAAAAGGGAAACAGTTCTAAGTGTACATGGCCAGTAATGATCATGCACCATCTTAAAGGGTTTTAAGTGCCTGTGAGAAATTGTGTGATGATATTAATGGTAGGGCTATAGATGAAAGTAAGAAATCTGATAATGTTACTGAAAATGATGCTTTAGCTGGTTGTAATTAATCTAGGGACATAATTGAAGAAAATTTTAGCTTTAAGCTGTGGTCTCACATCCTGGCAGAGCCCTGGTAGACGTCCGGGGATGATCCAGGAACAACCGGGATACATTCATAACTCTGCCTGCATTTACGTCCGGGATGATCTGGAACATTCGGCATTCGACCCCGGATAGAATAAAATATTTAATATCACCGGGGTAATCCGGGAAGGTATAGCTTTACCGGCTTCATCCTTAGCCCTGCCGGGAACGACAGGGTTACGCCAGGGAAGCACTGTAGCTCTGCTGACACAAACTAGGGATGATCTTGGGTATGATATAGCCGGTAGAGCTACAGAAGAGCCCCGGTGAATGCCAGCAGAGGCCCGGGGAATGCCAGCAGAGCCCCCGGTGAATGCCGGCAGAGCCCCTGTGAAAGCCTGCAGAGCCCCGCAGGATGACGATGGAGCTACTGTTGATCCCTGTAGTGTCCCGGCAAAGCCCAGTTCATTTCAAAAGAATTACGGCAATTTGCAATGATTGCACTTGTTTGCAATAAAACCCTTCCCATTTCCCTTCTGTCCAGTCTTGCATAAGGATTATTCAGAAAATCATCATGAATTACTTATTAAATAGGAGAAAATATCATTTAGAATTATATTAATGAAAATTATGAATCAACATCATCATTTTTGCATGTTTTCAATCCACTGGGTTCTTATAACCGTGGCTCTGCCAAATCGTCCTGGGTTCTGCCTGGATCAACTGGGGCTCTGCCTTGTTCAACTGGGGCTCTGCAGGCGTCATCCAGGAATGACCAGGTAAGCATCGGCATGAACCAGAGCTTCACCTGGGCTCTGCCTGGATGGTCCGGGGGCATCATGGGTGTTAGTTGGGAATTACCGTAGTGCTGCCGGGGTAAGTGTGACCGCAACATAAAATTTCACCCCGGATCATCCCAGTTACTTACCTGGGTGGTCCTGGGCTCTGCCAGGAGTAAATGAGACCACAACTTTAGATGACAATACAATATCAGGTGATGTTCTTGAAAGTGAGACTACAGGTGATAGTGAGATATTTAGAATGGTTAAAAGCGATTTTTTGATGATAATCAGAAATCTGGGTATGATAAGGTAGGAAAGGTTTTAGACAAAATTACAAGATATTGTGACTTTGATATATTGGGCATTGCAAATGAACTTGGAGCTATGTGTGAGTCCAAGAAACTGAGTTGTGTAAATATAGCTGGTGCTATGTGTGACACTGAAATATTAAGTAACGTGAATGAAAGTGGAGCTATGTGTGCCTCTGAGATATTGAAAAATGTTAATGTAGGTGGAGCTATGTGTGCCTCTGAGATATATACAATGAAAAAGAAAGTATAGTTATGGGTCACACTTATGCTAATGAAGGTGGCCTTCAGGACTTGGCCTTGAGACATATCATCTCTTCTATGTATTGTTGCTACATTGGGTTGTGTCTAAAGTGTGTTACCCATATAATAAAAAAAAATGTGCAAGTTATATGTAATGCACAATTTGTAAAATATATTTTCAGTTCAAATATATTCTGGGACTGTTTGTGAAACTGTTTATTGCAAAGATATTCTTGCACTTTGAATGAAGTTTCAGACAAGTCCAAAAAGTTTTTCAGAGAATATTGTTATTATATGATTTAAAAATAGCTGTAATCTCATTGGTTCAAACAGTGGTAATCAGAACAAAATTATAAAATCATATTCACTGGCTGAATCAGATTTTCCCTATCTAAATTAGAATCAGACTCATATCCTAAATAACCCTACAGCATGGGGATGCCAGATAAGTTGCGTCATTTGAGCGCATTTTATTTATGAACAGCATTAAAGTGTCATTTTGGCGCATTTTAAAATGGAACTAAGGATGACCTCATTTAATGCCGCTTATAATATTTAAGTTGTTTAAAAATAAACAGCATAAACTATTGTTAGAAAATAGTTGTGGATGAAATGACATTAATTTCCATGAATAAATATCTTATTGAAGGTAACCATTTTAAATATGTAAGAATATGAATGTAACTGTCTTATTTTGAATATTAAAGAATATGATAGGAAATGCAAGAAAACAAGAGCTGTCACAGAAGACAGCGAAGCTCGACTCATCAAATACTGGATGCAGTAAGGAAACCGAAACTATGAAAGAAAAATCAATAATGATAAAAATATATTTTTGTATCAGTATCAAGAAAGCAGTCAAATGTTCTATATTTTGCACAACATAATGATCTTGTCAATAAAATTAATGTTACTTTAATGGAAAGACAGCAATTTGAAATCTGAAGTCAATCCCTTCAAAAACAAAAATGATAAAAGCAAAGAGAATTTAAAGTAAATTATAAGTTCAAAGTGGAAACATTTATACTCTTGAAAAAAGAAACTAGAGTTATGAACCTTGTCATGCATGATGTGACTAATGACAAATAACAATTATTTATCTTAAGTCTAGAGCAGATACCATTTATAACAACAAAGATAATACAAAAAAAATTAATTTACAAATGAATTTCAAAAATTAAATGTGGATAATTCTGGGAATACAAGGGCTTGCATTTTATAACTCTTATCCATATGACAAGAAGTCATAGTAAAACTAGAAATGTGTCATCATGCCACGGATGCCCCCGCATGCAGCCAAAATTTCAGATGTTATAATATTTAGTTCCAAATTTGTTTGCACAAATTATTTTTTTCATTTTAAGTTCAAAGCCCTTAAAACTTTTTAATGTTAACACAAACCATTTCCATACGTTCAAAGCCCTTAAAACTTTTTAATGTCAACACAAACCTGGCCATTTCCATACAATGTTCAAGGCACTGAAATTATTCAGTCTTAACCTTTTGAAAATAGCATATTTCATATTTGTAGCCAAAATAATGGCTACATACATTTCCACGAAAGTATGAGTGCTAAAACTGAAAGTTCAAAATTTTTCCAACATTCAAGAAAGATAAGTTTGTCCAAAATCATTGAACCACGACCAAATTCAAACTTAAACTGCTTATTCCTAAGATGTATCTATATTATTTTCAAAGTGAAAGGGACATAACTCTGCCAAAAAATCATCGAACCATGAATAAATTCCAACTTGACCTGCCCATTCCTTTGACATATCCATATGTCAAATTTGAGTTGAATATGTAACACTGTTGGTAGATAATGAACAGAAACTGTAAATTTCATATTATTTTCAAAGTGAAAGGGCTTTACTCTGCCAAAAATCATTGAACCATGACCAAATTCGAACTGGCCTGCGCATTCCTTTGACATATCCATATGTCAAATTTGAGTTGAATGTGTTGTACCAGTGGGGAGATAATAAACAGAAACTGAAAATTTCATATTATTTTCAAAGTGAAAGGTGCATAACTCTGCCAAAAATCATTGAACCATGACCAAATTTGAACTTGACCTGCGCATTCCTTTGACATATCCATATGTCAAGTTTGAGTTGAATGTGTTGTACTGTTGGTGAGATAATGAACGGAAACTGAAAATTTCATATTATTTTCAAAGTGAAAGGGGCATAACTCTGCCAAAAATCATCGAACCATGACCAAATTCGAACTTGACCTGTATTTTATCATGACATATCCATATGTTAAATTTGATTTGAATGTGTTATACCGTTGGGGAGATAATGAACGGAAACTGAAAATT